TTCACAGCGGTTTGGTCACACAAATGACTATGTTTCTCAAAAGTCATAGAATAGCAAACTTAATGATTTGTGCATTTCAACTGTAAGCAAATGTTACTGCAAAAAGAAACATATGAAGATATCGTTCATGATACACCTACCGAAGCGTCGATGGTAAAGCAAATTAGTGTTTGCAGCAGAATCTGAAATGCATCCAGAAAGGAAGAAATGCTGGCTGGAGAGGAACCGTGATCGATTGACACTTGATGAAGTGAGTTTATTGAAATGGTGAGCTGACAGTGTGGACCGTACAATTCTTTCACTTTCTTGTGCATTATTTTTGTAATAAACAATCAAGGGCTCTGAGGAATGAAATGATCCCAAGTTCCCAGCCACACCCAGAAAATATGAAGCTGTGACTTGTGCACACAGGGCCAGCACCAGCAGCCACCCCCCAGAATCTGCCGATGAGATTATGATATATATTTTTGGGTTTTCCTCTACAGTTCCTGGCTCATAACTCCCTCCCTCTGCCCCCCGCCCCCCACCAAGGAAGGCCATAGAAACTGGAATTTCTCTTCCCCAAGGCAGGTCATATTAACTCTAATCTTCCCCTGCCCTTATGTCTTGGAGGTGGTCATAAAGAAATTCTGTGACCACTGGACACCAGTGGTTCATGCTTATAATCCTAGCTACTTGGGAGGCTGAGATTGGGAAGACTGAGGTTCAAGACCAGCCCAAGCAAATAGTACAAGAGACCCCATCGCCAAAAAAAAAAAAACCAAATTCTGTGACTTACCTCGTCCCATGGTATAGAAAGTCATAAAACCCTCCTCTTTCCAGAGGAGCCCTGCCCCATACAGTGAAAGGAGGAGTGCTGCCCAGAGAGGTGGAGAAAAATCTGCACAGGCCTTGCTGGGTTCCCACCCGGTCTACTGGCATTAAATCATGACCTTTTGGTCCAATTGCATTTCTACATGACTGTCCACACTCCAGTCATGACTGCGCAATGGGGCTCCGTGGAAACCCCAAAGGACAGGGCTCAGGGAGCTTCTGGATAGCTGAACGCAGGAGGCTCCTGGGAGGGGCAACCAGAAAAGGTGGGAAACCCTGCACCCCTTCTCCCATACCCTGTCCTATGCATCTTTTCATCCATACCCTGTGTAAGGTCATTATAATAAACTGAGTCCTGTGAGCCTCGAAAAAAAATTAAGAGAACCTGAAGAAGGAAGGGATGTGGAAAGCCTGATTTATAGCCAGTCAGTCAGAAGCGCAGGTAGACCCACCCAGGGCTTGTGGTTGTCATCTGAAGTAGGAGGGCACAGTCTCGGGCAGAGTCCTCAACCTGCAGGTTGTGACCCTATCCACCTGGAGGCGCTGAGTTGAACTGGAAGACATCAGCTGTGCTCTGCTCCAAATGTGACTACCTACTTGCTCCTGGAGAAAAGGAAACCTTCCATACTGATGGCAAGTGAGTGCAGAAGAAAATGGTTTCTTTCACTCCAGTGACTGCTGAAGCCCAGGTGCATTTCCTATAGACAGGGGCAGCTACAGCCTGGCTACCTGCACAGCCTGCTGCTCCTGGAATTTTGGCCACTCCCAGACAAAGTTCTCAGGTCTTTGAAATCACTGATGGGCCATGAGGGAGCATCTCCCCTGGGCACACTGTGCCTGCCCAGAGCACTGGAGAAGTGGCAGAACTGGATTTTGACTGGGACAAAATGATGGTGTTGATGACAGGGACCCTTCGCTGGGGCTTTGCTCTCTGCCTGGTGGCAGCACTGAGTAAGCATTTACATCTGTCATGTCATTTAATGTGCAAGTGAACCTATGAAGCAAGTATTACACAAAAGGCAAGGGCCCAGAGAAGTGTAGTAACTTGTACACAACCCCCCAGCAGGCAAAGCACTGAGCTGGTATCAAAGTTGTTGAACATCAGAGACTTCATCTTGACCACTGCTCCTCTACCCCATATACCATCTGCACCCAGAACTCCATACCAGGTCCTCTCCCCAGGGCTCCCTGAAGCCACCCCCACACACATCCCATAGCCTTCTGATAGGCTGAGCCAGGCCTACCCTTACCCCTGTAAACCCCCCACCTCCAACCCAGTGTCTTCAGGGCTGCTCTGGCCAGCTTCCCTACAACCACAATCAGAGCTAAGGAAGGCTCCATACAACTGGTAGTCTGGTAATCAGTCTCCTTTTTTTTTCTTGAGATGTTGCCTGTTGCCAGGGTAGTCTTGAACTCCTAGGATCAAGTGGTCCCCTTGCCTCGGCCTCCTTGAGTAGCTGGGACTATAGACATGTGCTGTCACACCCAACAAAGCCTCTTTCTTTTTTACATTTTACAGAGGCGGAAATGAAGGCTCAGAGAGTGGCAGTGACTGGTCCAAGTTCACATAAAATGCTGAGAAAGAACCTTGACTCCTACTCATGATTCTGATCCTGGGACTACTTAGCTCTTGCTGGGCCAGGGCTGAGTGGGTTGCATGGCTGGTGGTGTGGGGCTGGGGGAATGGGTAGATGGGGCCTAGAGATGTCCGTAGGGCTGGGGAAGAGAAGTGCCAGGCCTGCCAGTGTTGGCCGGGAGATCCTGAAAGAGCAGTTCTCAGTGGATAGACTTAGAGCTTCTGTCCCAGAGAGAGGAAGGGTCTGGTGCTGGCTCTCCCAGCCATCCCTGGCAACATGGAGGCAGGACTTAATTTTCCTAAACCCCTCAAGTCACTCCTAAGCATCCTGAGATGTACACCTGGCTGGATTGGCCCAGTGACCCTGTGTTACACCTCTCCCAGACCCCCATGTGCCCTCCCTTGGGGACCCATGGTACCAACCATGACTGAAGATCAGATCCTAGAGCTAGAACCAAGAGCCACCCTCCCACCCCCCTAGCACACCTTGCTTATCAGCCAGGGTCTGGCTCAGGGACTTCAGACCCCTGTTCCAGGGAAGGGTCCTGCTAGGGTCCAGGCACTGAGACTCCAGGCCTCAGGCAGGGCCTGAGCAGCTCCTGCAGTGTATGGGGTGGGAGGGTAGAGAAGGGGGTTGAGGCCAGTAGCTGTGAAGTCAGTAGCCTCCCTCCTTCCTTCCTTCCAGCCAGGCTTGGAGCCATGGGAGGAGTACGGGGCACCAGAGTGGGAGACCAGGCCTCTACACAAACCCAAGCAGCTCTGCCATGTCAGGCTAACCAGCTCTCTCCAACACAAACACTGGCCCTGGCTCCTTCTCCCTGGGCAGGGTCATTTTTCAGTGATGACATCAGCCATTAAAGTGGTATGGTTCCTGCCACTCAACACACATCGCAGAGCTCATGGGCCTGGTGAGACCAGCACCACTGCAAGTAGCACCTCCAGCCTTAGATAGCAGGAGACATCCTCACTGCGGGTGCAGCCTTCCCCGCACTGCAGAAAGATGCAGGAGAGAAAACCCCAGGTCTTAGGCATACCTAGGCCGTTGATCCTGCTGGACCCTCTGTCTGTGATCATGTCCCATACTACCTAACAAGCTCCTCTGCATCCTTTGGGGACCCTGTCCAGTGTCCTTTCTCTGTGACACTGGCCCCACCTTCTGAGCCCCCACAGTGCTCAGTCCACCCCTCCTTTCCACCCACCACCTATGCAGTGGTTACACCCCCTTCCTATCAGACCCAAAGGCTGGGAATGTTTGTGAAGGGAAAGTGGTGGAGTCCAAAGGGTAGGGAAGCTGGTGGTGAAATGCCCTGATGCTGGTCATTCCCTGGACAGCATGTGCTAAGGGACCAGCGCTGGCATATCCACTCTGAGAAGCATTCCTGCTCGTGAATGGGCTTCGGGAACCCAGATTTGGAAGGAGACCTATCTCCCCTCACTGCAGGCTGTGCCCCAGCCCTCAGCTGGGCCCCCCAGGAAAGGGGAAGGGAAGCAGCACTTCCTCCCCAGCCTCCTCAATGCGTCTCTGGACACATGCCAGGGTGGCGGGCCTTGGGGAGCTCAGACAGACCAGAGTGGAGGAGTAAGCTCTCTAGTGTTCTGACCTCAAAACAGGCTCAGTGATGGGACAGCCTTAGGCTGGGCCACCTGGAGACTGCCATGGGGGACAAGGGTTGGGAGCCTCTATCAGGCTCCAGTGGAGGTGCTGGGTGAATGAGTGAGCGGAGGGAGGGATGAGGGGTCTGAAGAGAGCGGGCTGAAGTGGAAGTCCAACTTCACCCCTATGGGATTTTCTGCGACAGTGGGGAGGGGTAGACGGACGCCTATACGACTAGTCCCCAGCCAGACCCCTACTTCAGGACTGAGGTGTGTTGAAGGTGGCAAGTCAGGCCTGGAAGGGGCCAGAGGACTGAGTCCCCACCCCTCCTTTCTGGGAGGGGGTCAGCGGGATGCCCAGGCCCAGAGCCAAGATCACTGCTGACTCAGGACCTGCTGGCTAGCTCAGCATTCCCCCCACCCCCTCCCTGCGGGGCTATTGAAAGTCTTTGTAGGGTCAGGCAACAGGCCACAGGCCACACCTCCAACCAGAGCCTTCGCTGCTGTGGGCTGTGCTCTCAGGGGCAGTGCAGCCCTGGGGTTAGTCAGAGAGAGCTCTGGCTGCCAGCGGCTGCTCCAGGGTGTCAGCCACCAAGGACAATCTTGGGTGAGCTAGCTGGGCTGGATCAAAGAACAGGTCTAGTAGGAAGGGGTTCCCCCGATACGCAGGACCGAGGGCTCTAGATGGGTAGTTCCAGTTGGGGAGGGTGTCCTGCGTCCATGCCACAGTGCAGATGGCTTTCCCACCTTCCCATCAGGCCAGAGCTTTTGAGGGGCCTGGCCTGGTCTCCCCTATTAGACCAGGCTGGTTTGGAGCTTTGCCCATCAGACCTGGAGCTCATCAAGCCCAGCTTCTTCCCGCGCTCAGCATGTGACCCAGGAATGATGTCCAGGTTACAGCTCGGCCTCTGCTGTGGGTTCAGATAAAATGCCCCCAATCCTGTACCCCTTGACTCCTGACCTCTGCCCCCAATCTGGGATCTGGCCTGGTCTGGCTATGTGACCTGCATCGGTCCTCTTCTCAGGTATGGATGAGGGCTGGGTGCCATGAATCCAGTGCAGGTTGTCACCCTTTGGTGCATGCTACTGCTGGTCCCTGGGCTGAGAGCTCCCAGGAGGGGGTCCCCAGAAGAGGCCTCCTTCTACTATGGAACCTTCCCACCTGGTATGTCCATTCCTTTGCTGGTCTGCTCGTCTGTCTGTCTGTCTGTCTCTGTCAGCCTGCCCACCTTGGCTGACTTGCTAAGGAGTTTGGTATTTTAGCTTCTTGACTGGTAGGATGAGAGGCATATCTCCACATGGTTCTAAAAGTAACCTAGCAGATTGTGTGTGTGTGTGTGTGTGTGTGTGTGTGTATGAAGTGTGCTTGAACCCAAGGCCTCATGAATGTGAGGCAAGCACTCTATTGACTAAACTACATTCCTAGCCCACAGATTTTTAAGTTACAAAAATCCACAGTCAGTAAATGCTAATCAGAGCTAAAATAGTGCCCCCTACTGCCCTTTTTTTTTATTTTTCAGATAGGGTCACATGTTTTTTTGTCCAGGGGTTGACTCTACCAGGATCCTCCTACCTCTACCTCCTGAGTAGCTGGGATTACAGGGTTGAGTCACCACGCCCACCTCAAAATGTTTTTAATGATTACATCTTTCCCCTCCCTGCTCCACATGCTCCCACACAGGGAAACTAGGGTGGGCAGTAGGCAGGGCCTCCCCTGTGGCCAACCACAGCTAAACACCTGGCTGCAGTGGCCTGTGGCCCAGTGGAGTCTCCACCTGCAGGCTTCTCCTGGGGTGTGGGCAGTTCTGCCTACCAGACAGAGGGTGCCTGGGACCAAGACGGGAAAGGGCCCAGCATCTGGGATGCCTTCACACACAGCAGGACAGGGAAGGTGCTCGGGGATGAGACAGCAGACACCTCCTGCGATGGCTACTACAAGGTCGAGGTGAGCGAGGGGACTGTGTGCCAGCCTGCTTGAGGGCTGGGGAGGGATATAATGGGGGAGTCTGAATGACAGTGTCAATCCAGTGCTCTGCCTAACAATCTGTTCCCAATGTGGCCAAAAGAGGTGGTGCCAGTGCAGGGGTGGTCCATGGCCGGGGGTGCCAGGCTGTACAGGGAAGGAAAGCAGGGACTCACTTGAGTCCAGCAATGAGGCCACAGTAGGCTGAAGTCCTGTTCCCTACCTGTGCATTGCCCTGTGTGGACAGAACGGGACAAGCTTGTCCTCAGAACCCCATTTTTTCTCAGGTCGGATTTTTGGGGGAGTCATCACTCATGTTTACTAGGACATCTGATGAGCTTCTCAAAGTGCCCAGATTTGGCTTTTTTTTTTTTTTTCCTGACTCTGCATGTCCCCAGCATGGAGAAGGAGTGGGTGATGTCGTCCCTATTACCTGTGGAGGAGACAGGTCCTTGCTCACCCACTCAAAGCCACAGACAGGTGGGGTCCCCTGCCTTCCCCTTTCCCTCACCCAACGACCAGACCTCTGTCCCACCCCTGTCTGCATAGGAGGACATCGTTCTGCTGAGGGAACTGCATGTCAGCCACTACCGATTCTCCCTGTCGTGGCCCCGGCTCCTGCCCACAGGCGTCCGAGGTGAGCCAGAGCAGTCCATCTGCTGGGACCCCAGAGTGGGGATGGGGCAGCGTAGGAGCTGCTTTGCTGGAGCAGTCTCGCAGGCTCCTCAGGGAATGCCTGGGCCTATTGAGAGACCCTTCTGAGGTTTGGGATGCTGGCCAGCTGAGGCGGCCTTCAGCTGATGAAAAGCCTCGGGACCCAGGAATGCTGCACCCCAGAAGGCAAGGCCAAGGTCCTTTCTTGTAGCATCCTCTTCTCTTTCACTTTCAGCTGAGCAGGTAAACAAGGAGGGAGTAAAGTTCTACAGCGACCTCATTGATGCCCTTCTGAAGAGCAACATTACACCCATCGTCACCTTGCACCACTGGGACCTGCCACAGGTGAGGGCCAGGCAGGCCCAGAGGAGCTTGGCTTAGTCAGCAGGAGCCTGGTGTGAAGACCTGGGGTGGCCAAGGTGGGGCACAGATGAGGGGCAGGGCTCTGGCTCCAGACCAAAAGATGTGAGTGAAAAAGTCCTCTGACTCACTCTCAGTCCATTGTGCTGCTATAACAAAATGCTAGACTGGGCAACTTACAAAGAATGCAAAGTTAGGCAGGCCAGGTAGTACGTGCCTGTAATCCCAGCACTCAGGAGATTGAGGCAAGAAGAGAGTTAAAGGCTAGCCCGGGCTATATATTATAAGACAATGTCTCCAAAAAAATTAAATAAGTGAAATAAAGAACAGAAATTTATTCTCACAGTTCTGGAGGCTGGAAAGCCCAAGTCAAGGCTCCAGTAGGTTCAGTGAGGTGAGGGTCTGGCCTGTGCTTCCAAGATGGCACCTTGAATGCTGCATCCTCACATGGTAGAGGGAATGGAAAAAGGGATGACCTCCCTCTGTTCAGCCCTTTTATTAGTATTCAGGTGCCTGATCCCATTCACAACAAGGGAGCTTCATGACCTAGTCACCTCCCAGAGAGACCCTCTTTTTTTTTTTTAGTGGCACTGGGGTTTGAACTCAGGGACTCGTGCTTGCTAGACAGGCACTCTACCACTTGAGCCACTCCACCAGCTCTGTCTTTGTGTCAGGTGTTTTCAGGATAGGGTTTCTCAAACTGCCCTGCTGGCTTTGAACCACAATCCTCCTGAGTAGCTAGGGTTACAGGGTTGAGCCACCAACGCCCGGCTGAGAAAAGCCTTCTCAACACTGCTGCCCTGGGGACTAAGAGTCAAGGTGAATTCTAGGAGCCCAAAACATTCAGCCCATGGCTTTAATTCATGTTCCTTACAAGTAAAGAGGGTAAATCCTAATGTTTTCCAAAATACTTGGCATAGAAAAAAAAATCAATAAGTTATAAAGAATTGTCTTTCTTTTTTCTTTTTGGGGGTACTGGGCATTGAACCCAGGGCCTCCTGGCATGCTAGGGAAACATTCAACCAGTGGGCCACAGCCCAAGAAATATCTTGAGTGAAGTTTGGTAACATGGTGTTAGCACTTTCTCCTTGATTTGAGCCAGTACCACATGTCCTCATATGTGACCCCAGCCCAGCAAATCCAGAACGTCTCTGCAAGTTCGGGAACATTACATGTCGCTATTTGGGCACTTTATTCCTTCAACATGGCCCCACAGACATTACAGCCAAGCCTGTACACAGCTGGCTGGGACATGAGCAGATGGTCCTGGGCCCAGGGCCGTGGGAGGTCGGAGGATAGAGACTGGCTTCAGGAAGACATTGGGGAGAAGGTGGGGTTCCCTCAACATTTTGACAGAGGGAGTATGCCGCAAAGGCAGGACTGGGTTAGAGTCTGGGGAATAGGCAGAGGAGGGCAAGGCTAGGCAGAGGGTGGGTGGGAGTCTCAAAGGCCAAGCTGAAGTGACTGTAGAGGCATGTGAGCTGGGGCTGGGAGAAGGAACAGAGCAGGCTTTGGAGAGGTGAATGAATGGAAGCTGGTTTCCGCTCCTTCCTTGGTCTGTCCCTCACTAACCCACCTGAGCATTCCCTCAAGTCCACCAGGAGAACTCTCAGGCACCAGACTTGTCCTTGGGAAAACTACCCTCATGCACAGGTGTCTTTGGGTAAGAGCTGGCTCCCCATTGCCGGGAGCAGACCCCACCCAGAGCAGAGGCTCTCACTTCTGCACGATCCTCAAAATCCTTATGGAGCTTTCCATCCTGGGGCCACAGGGCTTTTCCTCACAGCTAACATTCCAGAGTCAGACCTCTCCCTGGCATGGTTCCATGGATCCCTAACCGTCAGGTCCCTCTAAGCATGAGTCTCAGACTCTTGTGCTCCCTCCATCCTGTTTGAACATTGTCCAGCTTAAACGATCACCTCCTCACTGAGATTGCTCAGGGCTCCTCTCTGTCATACCATCAAGGCTTCCATCCCCTAACAAGGATCTCTAAATATCCTCTAAACTGTGGTCACCACGCTTGGCCAGTCGGCTCCAGCAGTCTCCCTGGGGCCTCGGCTTCTCTCCTCTCTCGACTGCAGCTGCTCCAGGCGCAGTACGGTGGGTGGCAGAATGTGAGCATGGCCGGCCACTTCAGGGATTATGCTGACTTGTGCTTTGAGGCCTTTGGGGACCGAGTGAAGCACTGGGTCACTTTCAGTGATCCTCGGGTAAGCAAGGTCCCTCCCCAGGTGGGGACTCTTGAGTGCTCTCTGCTGCTTCTCATGGGTCCTGTGGGCCCCACTTGCTGTCCTTGCAGGCAATGGTAGAGCACGGCTATGAGACAGGCCACCACGCACCAGGCCTGAAGCACCCGGGCACCAGCCTGTACAGAGCAGCACACCACATCATCAAGGTGAGCCAGATCCTCTCGGGGGAGGAAGGCTGGACTCCTGGTGGGGGAGAACCTGCCCTGGGGGGCTGGACTTGAACCCCTGCCCCTCGGCCTCCATATCAGCACATCCCAGAATGCCTCATATTCCGTGAGGATTTGTGCAGGACATGTCTTGTCATCCAGCGCTGAGACCATATAGTGACTGCTCTCATTGTAGGAATGGGCACAGACCTGTGGAGGTATGTCACCTGAAGTCCACACTGTGTGAGGGACGGTAATGGGAGGGAGGGGTGAGAGCCAGCGAAGGGCTGAAATCTTCAGCGAGTGAGCGGAGGGAAGCAAAGAGTTGTGAAGGACAAGGGTGAGAAGGGGTGGGGGTTGCTTGACATCATGGGCTATGGAAGGAGAAAGTTTGGAAGCACCCATAAAGGGCAAGGCAGACCCCACTCTCTTCCAGGTTCTAAGGTGCACATGGGAGGGGGGAGTGGCCTCTTTTTCTTGGGAGAGCTACCACGAAGGGGGTCTCAGGGCACAGAGACGTTCAGAGAAGATGCCAGTGTGCATCACAAGCTAAGGACAGGTCTGAGACCCATTTACAGGACATGGATGCAGACACAAGTGACGATGCTGAGGAATGGGTGTGAGGCCTGAGATGATCCAAAGGACCCTGAGAACACCATGGAAGGCCATGGGCGACACACGGTGACTCCGATCCAAGTCTTTCTTTCCACACTGGACTTTTATTGAATAGTTAAAGGTCTGAAAACATCCACAATAAGGCGCGTGAAGGTGGCTTTTCAGATCTTATCTATAAAAGACAGCTAGCTGAAGCCACATGACTTTGTACTGTTTCTGAGACACCGCAGATCCCTGCGGTTGTCATCAGGCAACCCCAGGGCTCATCTTGTTCTCTTCTCGGTTGTTGCTGACTATCAAAAAGCAAGCATAAAGAGAGAAGACTGAGAAATCAGGTTCTCTGGGGTAACAAACATCCCTGACTTTCGTAGCCTTGAGATACTCAGTTCTTCCAGTCAGCACCTCCGATCGTCAGCAAGTATTGGAATCGCATGGCGGCCTGGTTAAGACACAGATTGCTGGGCCCCACAGACCTGCATTTCTATCAAGTTTCCAGTGTGGACACTTGAGGGCCCCTGCCCCAGATTACTGCCACCTCTGTCAGATGCAGTGCTAGCCTTGGAAATAGGTGGGCCAGCGGTCACGGTGGAGACAGGGCGTGAAGGCAGAATGCTCATTTCAGGTTCTGCTTCTCAGGACTGTTCACACGGCACGTTCCCAATGCACTGAGCACCTGTGGGAAATTACTGCCTACTTGCTATAGACAAACAGGAACAAACCAAGGAACTTCAGCAAAGTATCTTTGAAACAATAAACACCACCACCAAGCGGCTTATGACAGACTTAGATCAAGTTTCCTCTAGAGTACAAAGCAAGCAAGCATCTCTGGAGGTCAGAGGTCAGAGGGAGACTTCTGGGATAATCCAGGATGGATTTAGGAAAGTGGTAGGCCTTAAATTGGAACACTCACACTCTCCTCTCCTCTCCCCTTTCCTCTCCTTGGTGGTACATGTGAGCCACGTCCCGTACAAGCTGAGCCTTAAGTTAAGGAAGGGAAAGGTCATCCCAGATTGAGTCAGGCACCTAAATGCGCTCCTGCTCCTCCTGCAGGCCCACGCCCAAGCCTGGCATTCTTACAACAACACATGGCGCAGCAAGCAGAAAGGTGAGCTGGAACCCCACACACTAAAACAGACATGTGGGCTGGTGGTGTGGCTCAAATGGCAGAGTGCCTACCTCACAAGTGCAAGGCCCTGAGTTCAAGCCCCAGTACTGCCAAAGGCAAAACACAAAAAACTAGACATGGGGCACGTGGGGGATTTAGGACTTAGGCAGGAGGATGAAGAGTTCCAGGTCAGCCTGGAGTACATAGTGAGATCCAGCCAAGAAAAACAGACGTATAGAGAGGAGCAATGCCACGCCAACTTCATTCCTGACTTTTGCTTTCAGGTTTAGTGGGGATTTCACTGAACTGTGGCTGGGGGGAGCCCGTGGATATCAGTAACCCTAAGGACATAGAGGCTGCTGAGCGATACCTACAATTCTGCCTGGGCTGGTTTGCCAACCCCATTTATGCCGGTGACTACCCGCAAGTCATGAAGGACCATATTGGTGAGCAAAGTCACATTTTTATATTTTAAATTACATTTAACTGATCTATAAAAGTTGTATGCAATTTTTGTTGTTTTCTTTTGTTTTTTGCAATACTGGGGTTTGAACTCAGGGCTTTGTGTTTTCCAGGCAAGTGCTCTCCCATTCGAGCCGTGCCTCAGCCCCTGTGTGTTGTTTCAACACATGTACCACAGTGTGTATTGGGGTTATTTCCTCAAACATTTATGGTAGAAACTTTCAAACTCCTTTCTTCAAGCTTGGGAATATGGCAGTGCCCTTTTGTTACCTACAGTTACCTAACACACAGAGGCTCACCATGACTTCCTGCCCCTATGGGACTATAACTTAGAAGCCAGTAACCATTCTCTCCCCCTCCCACCCTCCCCAGCCACCACCCCCTCTCAGCTCCTATGAATTGAACCTCTCACACTGCACACGTAAGCTCATGTGGAATTTCTCCTGCACTAGGCTTACATTACATAACCATCGCCAGCACCACCATTTGTTGCCATCAAGTCACGTTTGTACCCCAGGAACCCCAGCAAGCTACTGGGCCCATGTGATGAGCAAAAGGCAAGGGACTGAGGTCCCTTGAGCTTGGAAAGCTCTGGTTTCCAAAGTGACTGGGAAGAGAATAAAGATAGCCAGAAGTGACTGGTAGAATGGCCCAAGCAGTAGAGTGCCTGCCTGGACAGTGTGAGGCCCTGAGTTCAAACCCCAGTGCCGCCAAAAAAAAAAAAAGAAAAGAAAAGAAAAAAAAAGACAGCCAGAGCTCACAGGGCTTCATCAGTTTGGAAGCTAACGGCCACAGAAAATTCCACCCAAAATGGCTTGAAAAGCTGGGAATCTACCATCTGAGTCCAAAAGGGATTTTTTTTTTTTTGGCAGTACTGGGGTTTGAACTCGGGTCCCATGCTTGCCAGGCAGGTGCTCTACCACTTGAGCCATGCCTACAGCCCTTTTTTGCTCTTATTTTTGAGAAAGGGTCTCACTTTTTGCCTAGGTCATCCTAGAACTCAATCCTATTTATGTTGCCTGCCATGCCTAGGATGACAGAAATGCACCACCATGCCCAGCTAGCCTCTGGGGATGCCTCTGAGGACCCGTGCTCATCGTCTTTCCATTCTGGTACTGCTACTTAAGCCTACAAACACTCCCCATGAACACAAGATGGCTGCAGTAACTCCAGGCATGATGTCTTTACTCATCAAAAGGAATAGTTCTCGAATACTTTTTTCCTTGCTAATCAATTTGTCTCCAATTTTTTTTTACTGTGGGCAAATGAACAGAAAATTTACCATCTTCACCATTTCTGAGTGTATACTTCAGTAGTATTTAAATACATGCATGGTATTGCACAACCATCACCACCATCCATTTCCAGAACTTCCTCATGTTGCAAAGCTGAAACTCTTTACCCAGGAAACAACAGCCTCCCATTCCCTGGCCCTGGTAACCACTGTTCTGCTTTCTAGTCTACAGTTCCCACTACTCTCAGTGCAGCATGACTGGAATCCTTCAGCGTTTGTCTTTTTCTGACTGGTTTCTTTCACTTAGCGTCGTACACCGCAATTCCCATCCACTTTAAGGCTGAATATTCCATTGCATGCATATGCCACATTTTGCTTATCTGCTCATCTGTTGATGGACACTTGGGTTGCATCCATGGTCTTGCCGTTGTGAACCATGCTGCTGTGAACCTGGTGTACAGATAGCTTCTAAGACAGGCTCTTTTGGGTATACACCAGAAGAGGAATTGCTGAATCACACAGCAATTCTGGTTTTCTTTACATTTGGGGATGGGGATTGAATCCAGATTCTCCAACATGTAAAACGTGTGCTCTACCAATGAGCTATAGCTTTGGTACTGGGGTTTGAACTCAGGGCCTAGTGCTTAGTAGGCAGGTGTTCTACTACTTGAGCACTTCACCAGCCCAACCCCTATTTTTATTTTTTAGGTGTTTTAAGATCTACGTAGCCTAGGCTGGCTTCGAATTCACCATCCTCCTGCCTCAGACTCCCAAGTGCTTGAATCACAGGCCACCACACACAGCACTTTTAATCTTTTGAGGAAATGCCATACTGTTTTCCATAGTGGCTGTTCTATTTTATATCCCCACCAATAATGCACAGGGTTCCAGTTTCTCCACACTCATCACTTGCATGGCAGCCAGCATTACAAGGGCAGAAGCACAAATGGGAGCAAGATCACATGGTGACACAAGATGCTCAAGTGGGGGGAAGCTGGCCTTGCTTTTTTTTTTCCATATTTTTACAAAGGGGTTTCATTGCGGTAATTCCCCATATGCATATATTGTTCTTTGATCACATTCACCCCCTCTATTACTTTCTATATCCTCTTGCACTGGTTCCCCCAATCAAACAGTCCCCATGTTACAGTCATTTCATTCATTCTTTTAGGTATAGAATCTGCATATGAGAATTTGTGGTATTTGTGTTTCTGAATCTTGTATCACTTAATATGATCTCCGGTTCTATCCATTTTCCTGCAACAAAATTTTATTCTTCATTGTGGCTGAATAATACTCCATTGTGCTTGTATACATTTTCTTTATCCATTTACGGGTTGATGAACACCTACACTGATTACATAGCTTGGCCATTGCGAGCGGTGCTGCTATAATCACAGGTGTGCAGGTGTCTCTACTGTGTGCACTCACTTTCCTTCAGATATATGCCCAGGAAAGGTGCAGAAGGATCATATGGGAGTTCTAGTTTTTGTTTCTTGAGGATCCTCTGTACTGGCTTCCATAGTGGTTGCACTAATTTACATTCTTCCTTTGCCTAATTTTTAACTGAGTTCTTTGCTTATTGTTGAATTGTAGTTCTCTGTATATTCTGGATAATAATTTATCACATATATGATCAGCAAACATTTTCTCTGTGGGCTGCTTCTTTTACTGGTCAATTCTGCCTTCTGATATGATAAATTTTCATAAGCCCAATTTGTGTATTTTTTTTTTCTTGCCTGTGCTTTGGTCTCACATCCAAGAAACCATTGCCAAATCCAATGCTATAAAGATTTTGCCCTATGCCTTAAGAGGTGTGTAGTTTTAGATCTTAAATTTGTGTCTTTGATTTGTTTGGAGTTAATTTTGTACATGGTCCAACTTCTCTGAGGGTCTACCTCCATGCATGTGTGTGCATGCGTGTTTTAGTCAGTGTACGTACTTGTTATTCTAAGCAATGCTGTGCTTTTTTTTTCACTTACAAACAGATCTTGGCGGGCTGGTGGAGTGGCTCAAGTGGTAGAGCACCTGCCTAGCAAGCACAAGGCCCTGAGTTCAAACCCATGTAGACATAAATGTTGCTTCATTTCTGCTAATGGCTGCAGTGTTGTACTGGTAGGCATTCAATTCCTACCCCCTTCCCCCCCTTCTCTTCTTTTTGCAGTGTTAGGGACCAAACCCAGGGCCTTGTGCATGCTAGGCAAATGATGTGCCAGTGAGCCCCATCCCCAGCCTCCACTGCTGACAAACACAGAAGTTGATTCCAACCTTCCTGCTACTCAGTTCCCAATGGAGACCCTCGTGCACATATCATTTTACCTGTGGGTGAAATACAGGATGACAGTTTGGGAACTGGCCAGTGAAAGAACATATACTTTTACAACTTTTGAAAGAGGATAAAGTTGCCCAATGCCAAGTTTATAGCAGCTTACACAACGAGAAGTTATGAACAGGCCCACACCCCACCATACCACCACTGCTATCCAGTTTCCTTCCAGAGCCCAAATCACTTTTTGATGTAAGGAATAATGAGACCCCAGCCCCACTTGTTCTCAGTTGTCCATATATCACTTACTGAGTAACACATAAAAATATTTAAAATTTCTTTGCCTGTGCTAGGACCTTGCACGTGCTAGGCAAGTCTCTACCACTGAGCTATACCCCTGGCTCCCAATATTATTTTTAAGCAATAGAAACTTTCCAACTCTTTGGATAGTATTCAAAGGTCAAATATGACTTTGAAAGGTCAAGGATGTGTTTTCCATGCAGATGAATCCTAAAGCCCAGCTTTCATGTCAATATGCCAGTACTGTCATAGAAGGTAACAATAAACTGACTGTGGAAAAAACTTGGTTAAATTCTCTCGTCAGGAAGAAAGAGCACAGAGCAAGGCCTGGACGTGTCACGGCTGCCAGTGTTCTCGCTCCAGGAGAAGGGCTACATTAAAGGCACATCTGATTTTTTGGGATTGGGTCATTTTACTACGAGATACATCACCGGAAGGAACTATCCCTCCCGACAGGGACCCAGCTACCAGAATGACCGTGACTTAGTAGAACTTGTTGACCCAAACTGGCCAGACCTGGGGTCTAGATGGCTCTATTCTGTGCCCTGGGGGTTTCGGAGGCTTCTCAACTTTGCTCAGGTACTTATCATAGTAGGTACGTGACAGACTTTTAACCTGAATTTAATTTCTTACAGCTTAAGCTCAGTTAATGAAACAATAAGCTCAGTGGCCCCTGACATGAGTGACCACTCACGCGCACACACAACTGCAGCTGAAGTTCGAGCCTGTTTTTCCTTAAGTGGAGCTCATGGGAAAGCAGAAGGCCTGAAGCACTTTCCCTCCAACAAGGCCACATTAAGAAGTGCTCTTCCACAGAGACCTGCCTCCTACCTGCACTCACCTCGAAACAAACACGCTGACACCTGCTACATGCTAAGCTGCACTTACAGAACGTGCAGCCATGAACACACATGTTGCCACGTGAGCCTCTGGCCCAGAAACCCACCTGTAGGTCACAATTCTTAAGATACCCATTCCTCTGACTCACTTTCAGACTCAGTATGGAGACCCTCCCATATATGTGATGGAAAATGGAGCGTCCCAAAAATGCCACTGTACTCACCTATGTGATGAGTGGAGAATTCAGTACCTCAAAGGATACGTGAATGAGATGCTGAAAGGTGAGACACAAAACAGTTTTCTATTACCCTAGACAGGATCTGGTAGCACATATGATCACCAAAACTTGCTACTCAATCTCGTAACACATTTTAACATTATCTTCACTGAGTAACTGAAATGTGTTCAATGGAGGAAAATGTCTTTGCAGCTATAAAAGATGGTGCTAATATAAGAGGTTATACTTCCTGGTCTCTGTTGGATAAGTTTGAGTGGGATAAAGGATACACAGATAGATATGGATTCTACTATGTGGAATTTAACAGCAGAAATAAGCCGCGCTACCCCAAGGCTTCAGTTCAGTATTACAAGAAGATTATCATCGCCAACGGGTTCCCAAATGCACGAGAGGTAGGACTGATTGCCCATGCCATTTGTTCTGGATTCAGAAGAGCTACGCAATACAGGGCACAAAAAGCTTGGCAAGCACCCCTTCTAGTTTCTCCATAGAGACAGCATGGCCTGTCTTTTCTTCCCTTGCTCCCACCAGGAATTTGCTCGTTTGCTTTGACTGGAGTAAGCCCATCTCACAGTGAAGTCCCTGCTGCCCACAGCATTAGGGCATGATCAGAGGGTATGCAGGAGGCCTGTGCTCTAAATTACCACAGGGCAAAGTCAGTGGAGACTTCCACAAGCAAATACAACCTGCTCTTCAACATATGGAAAGAGTTAAATAAATCAAATATATAATGACCACATCTCTTTCTTTTCCCACCAAATGGCAGAGTCATATAAATGCACTGGCTCCAAGATGAGATTAAAAACAATCAAATGTTCTCATCTTTCAAAGTCTACCAAGCATTTTCAGTTATCCACACATTGTTCCATCAGCTCTCTGTCCTCTGCTGCTACATCTTTCACTGGGATTATAAATCGCTGGTTGGATGCATAAATAAAGATCCTTAAAAATACATCTCCCTTGCTTATCAGGTGGAAAGTTGGCACCACGAAGCCTTGGAAACTTGCTCTGTCAACAACCAGCTACTGGCTACCGGTGAGCACATTTTCACTTCTGCTTGATAATTAAGACGCACGGTTGGTTATACATGTGATGCCAAACCTCCAGACGTAGCTCTACCTAAAGTCAATCTTCCCAAGCCACTTATGATTAAAAATGGATTTTTAGCTTTACTCTGAAGCAATGTTAAATTGCCTTTTTTTTTTTTTTTTTGGGCAGCACTGGGGGTTGAACTCAGGGCCTCACACTTGCTAGGCAGGTACTCTACTGTTTGAGCCACTCTGCCAGCCCTCAAATTTCTGTTTTACGAGTTTCTCATTATTATTATTGCAGTGCTAGAAACAGGATCCAGGGCTTCGCGCATGCATGCTACACAAGTACTCAACCCCTACAATCATCTTAAATACATAAAAATGCTGCCATTCAACTCTAAAGATTAAGCAATGCAAGAATTAAAAATTTTAATGTAGCAATCCTCATACCGCTAAGATACACAATAACATCACTGAAATGTTAGAAATGTCACCCAAGGATTTTTCTTTCATAAACTCCCCCACAATAAAAATTACAGGAAAAGTGACAAGAGTCATAGAACATGACTGCTAATATTCTGAATTTAACACATGGCAGGCATAAACACTGGCACACATATAGGCTTAAAACATTGCCAGTGAAGCACCCCAGTCAGAACTTCCATGTTTTCTGGAGTATTTTATATAAACTTTCATATAATTTTGGGGGATGGTGCTGGGCATCCCCGAGTTGCACCCCCAGCCCATGACCTTGAAAGAACATTTAATTTGCTGGGCCCCCTTCCACAGCAAATGGGAACAGTTAAACAGGCTGAAGGGTCGCTGTTTCAAGTGTCTGTGCTGCAAATGGCGGTTTCAGCATACACCCATACGCGGTGGGGCTGTCCTGTTTCAGAGCCCTTGCTCAGCCACATGTGTGTGGCTTCGGAGATCGTGGTGCCCACAGTCTGCGCCCTGTGTGTGCTCACTGCTGCCCTGCTGCTGACACTCCTCCTCAGGAGCCCATGCTGATGCCCACCAAGCCCAGGCTTCATCTCTCCAAGACAGTCTTCAGGGTCACACTCCTGTTTGAAGGTTTACGGACATGTCTGTTTTCAGGCTCTGTGGTAATTCCCTTTCCTTTTCTCTTTTTCCCTTTTGGTTTGTGCTGGGATTTATGAATTAGAAAATAAAAACCATCTGTAGTCTCACCACTACTGAAGTCAGCGTGCGTGTTTTGCTGTCCATTATGCACCTATTTTCATTACAAGAACAGGACCACAGTGTACAGCTCTGTAGCTCTGTCCAGAAGGACTACTTGAAGGTATGATGATTGCCATCTCAGCATCGCCTGCCTTGGCTAAGACTACCAGCCAGATAGGAGAAAGGGTTAGGCAGGCAGAAGCACACACGCTTTTCAGAGGTAAACTAGACACCGCAAGAAATATTACAGGATCTAAAAAATATTAAGCACGTAGTTATTTATCTGCTAGGTAACAAGACATTATTTTTTAAAATAAAAGTCCACCTTATTCTGTTTTGGCAGTACTGGGGTTTGAACTTGGCCTCACCCTTGCTAGGCCACCAGCCCTTTTTTTGTGATGGGTTTTTTTAAGATAGGGTCTCGAGAACTACATTTGCCTGGGCTGGCTTTGGTCTTCAGTCCTCCTGATCTCCCTCCTGATCTCTGCCTCCTGAGTAGCTAAGATTATAGGCATCAGCCACTAGCACCCTGCTTCCATTTTTACTCTTAACTGCTAAAATGCTAAAACTCATCTCTATTTCTTTGGGGACAAACATGGCCTAACTTACAGTTCTACAAGGGCTGGAGGAGTCGCTCAAATGATAGAGCACCTGCCTAGCAAGTGTGAGGCCCTGAGTTCAAACCCCAGTACCTCAAAAAAAAAAAAATATATATATATATAAAATTATATATCTTTTTTCATATCTATCTATACGAAAAGACAAAAAGACCAGGCATTTTACTCATTATTTGTATCATTTAATTTTGTATCTGAGCTGGACACTGGTGGCTCACATCTATAATCCTAGCTATTTAGGAGGCAAAGATCAGGAGAATCAGATTCGAAGCCAGCCTAGGCAAATAGCTCAAAAAATAACCAACCCAAAAACAGCTGGCAGAGTGACTCAAGTGCAGAGCTCTTGCCTAGCAAGCCTAAGGCCCTGAGTTCAAACCCAAAAAAAAAGAAAAAACAGAATTTTTATCTACAACACAAAAAAGATGGTAGAAAATGTTGTTCCAGTAATTCTTTTGGTTAATACTACCTCAGATGAAAAGATTTTAAAAAAGGTGTTTATACCTGGGGCTAGTCTACAACTGGGGAGAGGTAAACTTTGCTTTCAGTGTCAAGTTGGTATGTGCGTTCAGGGCTGTTCTCTTTCACCTGCGGCTATAAAAGCAAACTTTCCACTATTCTTTTATACAGATTTAATTTGTACTCTACTTATTTATTGTTTTTTTGATACAGGGTCTTGCTATGTAGCCCAGGCTAGTCTCAGACTAACTATGCTGGCCAGGTGGACCTCAAACTGGCAATCCTCCTGCCTCAGCCTCCTAAGTGCTGGAACCACAGGCATGCGCTATCATGCTGGGCTCTATTTTACAGACTTTTTTCTCTCCTTGGCAGTGCTGAGGTTTGAATTCAGGGCCTTCCCCTTGCTTGACAGCATGCTACCACTTGAACCAGCTCTTTTTGCTTTTAGTTATTTTTTAGGTGGGCTGTTTGCTTGGGCCAGCCTCAGACGGAGATCTTTCTACCTACAGTTTCCCCCTTGGCTAGGATCACGGGAATGTATCACCACACACTCAGCTTATTGGTTGAGATGGTGTCTTGAAAACTTTTTGCCCAAGACAATGTACCTGGTCCTATATAGATTTAAAATGCAAAGATTTACCATGCAAAAAAAAAAAAAAAAAACTTTTTCATTTCTCTGGTTTTAGGATTAAACTGGCCTATTCAGTTGACTACAAAAGGTAGAAAGGAAATTAAAGGCTCCCATTAAATAGTATCTGGAAAGCCTTTTATATATGAGTACTAATAAATAATCCCTGGTTCTAATGCATTAAATGTAAGGTACTTAGCATGTCACGATGTATTTGGAGAGCACACAGGTATCTTACAAGGTCCCTTTGGCATGCTTCACTTGAAATGCACCTGGCTGCAGGTCACCATGCTTATGAAGGATGTTCTTTCTTCTAGGCTACCATTCAGTGTTAATTCAGAAACATCTGTAACCAGAAAGACCGTGAGATCAGAACCGCTCTCCATTCTGCTGGCTATTCTGCCATGCTCAATGCTGACTTTTATAATAGCACAATAATCAGGAGGTTGACTTGACTTATCATGTCTTATACTTTAAGAGAATGCATGAGACAAAACTCAGCAGAACAATTCATTTAAAGATTAAACCCTCTTGATGCATTTAAAACATTGAGTAAACAAAACCTAAAATTTAAAGTATACTTTGAAAAACAAAACACCTATTTTTCATTTGGGAACCCACTGCTTTATTTTTTGTGCCACATCAATTTAGGGTTAAAACAACTGTCTTTGTTTTTTTCCCACCATAACATACATGTCAGAAAAGAAATTCTACTTAGGAACTGTAGTCTTAGAATTAAGACACATACCCTTCTCTTCCTCCCAAAGAATGGCTATTCAGAAAATAAATGGCCCAATTAACATTTAGATGGGATTATGTCCTCCTTGTAGGTCGACCTTTAGGTTTCCATATTTTCACCATTATCAGCTGTCATTACTGAGTCCTTACTGGTGGCAGTCCTCGACCGGACACTGCTTTTCTACTCCATTGACTCTGAGTAGTTATTCTCTTTCCATGGCAACTCAAGTACACTTTTCTCTCTTACATCTCCCTGTGTTTGATGTCTATCGTTTTACTCAAGAACACGATTCCACTTGCAAGATTGGAAAGCTAGTTTTTGACTGAAATGCTCAGTCCAATGAAATCAAAACAAAGCTCATGGCTTTTATAAATGAGGCCCTTCTTCAAGAGTAGGTCTTGCTTTCAGTTCAAAGTCACTGAATATTTTTTTTCCTGTCTTTTTTTCTTTGTGGTACTGGGGATTGAACTCAGGTCTCATGCTTGTTAGGAAGGTGCTCTACCACTTGAGCCCCTCCACCAGCCTTTTAGCTTTTGGTTATTTTTGAGATAGGGCTTCACTTTATGCCTGGGTGAGCATGGACTATGATAATCCTATTTATACTTCCCCATGTAGCTGGGATGACAGGCACACACCACACCTGTGAGATGGGGGCTCAGTCCTCCTGATCTCTGCCTCCCAAGTAGCTAGAAAATTACAGGTGGGAGCCACTGTGCCCACTAGTCACTGGATAATTTCTAAACATGTTATAAATATATACACACATGGCAGGAGATGAGGTTATAAAGTTCAAGTGAAAATGTTGTACAGTGCATTTCTAAGCACACAAATACATGAGTTCATAAGAATGCCTTACTTTCATAAGAGAACTCATTGAACCATTAACAAATTGCTTTAATTTTAACATTAACAAACTTCACTGTTTTTGAAGCAGCTTTGTGTCAGAAAGACTGTTTTTTGGTGGCACTGGGGTTTCAACTCAGAGCATGCCTTTGGCTTTTTCATTATATTCAGGTAGGGTCTCACATTTTTGCCCAGGCCAGCCTCAGACTGTAATCCCCCTCCTACAGCCTCCTCCATGGCTAGGATGACAGGTGTGCACCACCGCACCTGGCTTATTGATTAAGATGGGGGGAGAGGGGTCTCACTAACATTTTCCTGGGCTAGACTTGAATCATAATCCTCTTGATTTCTATCTCCCAAGTAGTTGAAATTACAGCCATGCACCATGCCTAGCTAAGACTCTTAAAGGATAAGTTCAGTATACTTTGGTTTTTTAGTATCATTGGAAAAAGATATTTCATCTTATATGAATTTCCTCATAAGAGGCTTACTTTTATTATTATTTTTTCTACTTCTGAGAATTAAACTCAGGACCTCACACTTGCTAGGCAAGCACTCTGCCACTTGAGTTATGTCCCCCAGTCTGGTTTATTCTTTATGAAATTAGATGGCACATTTCCAAACATATTTATGTTTCTAAAACTTTCTTTTCAATCATGAAAGCAATACATGTTTTCTTCCTAAAAGTGACGACAACAGGTGTGATAAAATTCTGAGCCAGGTGTAGATAAAATTCAGGTGCATGATGGACCACCTGAGGAACTTGACAAGTTGAAGATTCTTTCATCTGGCTGGAGTAAAAGAACTTTTTCCCCAGTGCTGGTGATCAAACCCAGAGCCTCTCATGCCAGGTAAGCACTCTACTACTCAGTTACATCTCCAGCCTTTGGTTCTGAGATAGGATCTCACTAGCCCAGGCTGGCGTCTTGTTTTTGGGGGTGGCAGTATTGGGGTTTGAACTCAGGGCTTCACACTTGCTAGGCCCCCAGGCTAGCCCTGAACTCGCATTCTTCCTGTTTTGGCCTCTTGCATGCTGGTATGATTCTAGAGTACAATGCTGAGGAGCACCTTTGCCATCATCATTCCACACCTCAGGAATAAAGTTTGGTTCCAGACATTTTCTATTTCCTAGTCCCTATTTTTGCTACAGTTAAGCTATACTTCAACTGAAAAATCTAATCATAGGACTATTTGCACATGTCTGGTTGTATGTGTGGGATAAATTCCTATTAATGGAACTGCCAGCTAAAGAGTGCATTCTTTTACAACAATTCTGGTAGACAGCGCCCTCCAGAGGCTGTACATTTCATACTTAAACTGGCAATGTATGGTTGATTTCCTGTTGCCCCATAACCTTGCCAGGACAGTGACAACAAGTGTTTTGGGTATCTTTTTTTATTTGTTTTTTTTTTTTTTTTTTTTGTCATGCTAGGGATTAAACCCTCACGGCATGCTAGGCAAGTGTTATACTACTGAGTTACATCCCCAGCCCTGACATCAAACTTTTTGATCTTTGCTACTCTGATAAGTGAAAAATGATATTGAATTTTTCTTATTATTGGTAGGGTTGAACACCTTTTTTGTGGTATTGGAGCCTGAAACCAAGACTCTGGACATGTTAGGCAACCTTAGCCCAAGTGCTTTTTATTTTTAAGATGACATTTCGGGTGCCAACGGCTCACACCTGTAATCCTATCTACTCAGGAGGCAGAGATCAGGAGGATCATGGTTCAAGGCCAGCCCCAGGCAAATAGTTCTGCAAATAGTTTTGCCCCAGGCAAATAGTTCTATCTCAAAAAACCCTTCACGAAAACAGGGCTGGTGGAGTGGCTCAAGGTGAAGGCCATGAGTTCAAACCCCAGTACTGCAAAAAAAAAAAAAGACATTTGAGCTATGTGAGTTGGCTCAAGCCTGTAATTCTAGCTACTCAGGAGGCAGAGATCGGGAGGATCACAGCTCAAGGCCAACTGGACCAGAAAGTTCATGAGACCTCATCTCAACCAAGTTGGGTCCCAGTTACTTGTGACCCAAATAATAGTGGTTCAGGCCAGCCCAGGCATAAAATGAGACCCTATCTCAAAAATAATGCAGAAAGAGCTGGCAGGGTGGCTTAAGTAGTAGAGGGCCTGCTTGGCAAGCACAAGGCCCTGGGCTCAAATCCCAGTATTACCAAAATAAATTAAATAAATTAAAAAAAAATCATTTGAATTTCCTTTCTGTTTAACTGTTCATATGATTTTCCCACTCTTCTACTACATGACTAATTTTTTAACTGATTTGAAGGTTTTTTAAAAAATTTACCTACTAAGGAATATAGCAAGCCCTTCTCTGAACATGAGCTGCAAATTTCTTTTCCTAGTTTACCATTGGCTGTTTTGCCTCTAGCATTTTTGCTGTGTATAAACTTTTCTATTTTTATGTGGTTGATTTTAATTTCTTAGAGCTTCCAGGTTTTATATCATTCTTACAAAAGACATGGCATGATTTAATCAGATGACTCCCAGGAAAATTCTCAGTTCCTTTAGGACTTTTGCAGCTTAGCTATCTAAATTAGAGCTATACAGAGCCTCTACTTGACAGAAGTTTCCATTCTGTCTGAATCAAAATATACTTGCGGGAGAAGAATAAACATTTTCTGGGGTAATTCTGGGGACAATTCAATCAGTAAAACAGAATTATTTGCATTTCCACCAGAGGCTGATTAAGGCTTTGAAATCTTCTTAAGACTGTCAGAAAACTGTCCTATTTGTTTTCAGATAATCCTTGCAAAATCCAGATGCAGCATTTTAAGCCTACATGAATTATGAGATAACCCACAGTCCATATGCATGAAGACACGGGTTTCAGAGGTGCTTACTGTGTGGCTCAGTCTGGGCTCAAACTCAACATCCTTCTGTCTCAGTCTCCCAAGTCTTGGAATTATAAGCATGCACTACCACACGAGCAATACTTTAGGATTTTCTTTTTTGTTTCTGTGGCAGGACTGGAGATTGAATCCAGGGTCTTGAACTTGCTAGGCAAGTGCTATACTACTTGAATCACGCCCCCAGCCCCAAAGGACATTCTTTGACTAACACGGACCATTTCAACCCTTATTCCAGATACAGAGAAGATCCTAGGGCAGAAATATCACTACAGCCTTAGAGTGCACAGTGTAAAGGGTCAGCTAACATCTCCATCGCATAACCTATTTTTATACCTATGTCCCTATTGCTTGACCTCATTCAATAAAATTCCTCTGCCTAGGATAAGAAAAAGGCCTCTTTTGTGATTATTACACTTTGAATTTTTCTAAGTATTACACTGGCTCAAAAGTCATGATTTTTACCTTTTCATACCTAGAGATGAGGAAAATTGTTTAAAAGTGGGTGCAAGAGCTATAATGATCCCTCTCAGTAATACTTTGTTTTCTACTGGGATAACTGCTTCTATTGGAACAGATTACAAACCAGGCCTGTGAAAATCCAGATGGTCTACAGGTGAGATGTCACTTAGCTGCCAAACTGTTTTAACCTTCTTTTGGCCACTGCTTATTTCCACTTTCCATTTCTGTGGCTTCTCACTAAGGAAAAGACATCAGAAGAAACAAATTTTAAAAAAACAAAAACCTCCCAAAGAGCTATTTCCTCCCTTCCTTCTATAGTCATTTCCTGAAGTGCTTATGTGATCAGCACTGAAGAAGAGAAACAGGTTACAACTCCCACTCTCAAGAAGCACAGTCAAGCATGGGAGGAAACAAGAACACAAAAACAATTCACTGAGGGAAAAGCAGTAAGAGAAGCACTGAGTGTTAGAGGACAAGAAAAGGAGGAATCTAATTCACACTGGGGACAGTAGAGCTGGGGGTGCGGATTGTGAGAGAATGCAGTGCCTGAGCAGAGTATCCATCGATAAGGAGTTAACAGGCGGCTAAGCAGACAAGGTCCCAGTAAAGAAATGATGTGTACACCTAGAAGAAGAAACGGAGGGTCTCAAAAAATGCAGTGATACAGGGTCCCTGACTTGAAAAGGAGATGGGAAGACTTGGTGGCACGTGGGCCTGGAACACTGTCTTAAAGGAAACGGCGCCATTTAGCCAGAAGGAAACCGCACAGGACCTGGGATCTAGAAGGTAACTTTGGCAGCAGCACAGAGAGGACAGTTAGGAGTCGGGTTTTGCTGAGTCCATGCTGCAATGATGCAGACGTGAAATAAAGTGACGGTGTGACCAGCTATGGAAAGGGGTGAATTCGTGGCGTGAGGAGAGGGGCAATGTTAAGTCCTAGGTTTCTCTATGGGGCATTAGGTAGCAGTTAATGGTGGTCATTTGAAAGATAAAATATGACAGAAGGAAAAAGTGTTAGGAAGGGGATGAGGAGCTTATTTTTTGTTTTTCGATTTTTTTAGCTGACAAGTAACTACATTTGTCATTTACAACATGACTTGAAATATGATTAACACATACATAATCCACCTAGTCATCATTTTCATGCTGAGATAACTTAACATCCATTCTCTAGCATCTGTGTTAATCAGAGCTGCCATTTGGACGCTAGCTCTCCTGCACTCCTCCACCGCCTGCAGAATGCTGCAGCTGGGCATTCACATCTAGTGGGCATTCAGAAACCTGGGTCTGAGAACAGGAGCCACTGTAGACAGGGGATATGAATTATCACTGCCTGGCAAAGAGAGAAGGTAAGAAAGGAGCAGAGTAGAGCTCTGTGAAAACTTGCATGTAAGAAGCAGAGGAAGAACTTGAAAATAACTCTTCTTTTGAACTGTCTTGGAGGTGGGTCAGAGGTGGAAATAAAATGAGGACGGATGCTCTGTCAAAGAAACTAAGGGAAAAAAACAGGTTCAAGAAAGCAACAGCTCTAAATGTTTAATAAAGGAGAAAGAATTGGTGGGCCTGCTAATTACACAAGGGGCTAAAGAACATTTTTTCACTGAAAAGTGCCCATTGAATTTGGTAATTAGGATTGGTGACCTTTGCCACAGCAGTGTCAGGGGAGAGATGGAGGTCTGAATTAGAAAGAACCAAATAGAAGCTGGTATGAACAGAGTGGCTGTGGCATGAAGGAAATTTCAAGCATCTTGTATGTGGAGGGAAAAGTCAGGAGAGGCCATCATTTGTGGCAAGCTCAGTGCCCAAGTGGGTGGGCTTATCCCTTAGGTTCCCTATTAGATTCTTCTTTCACTCCTCAGCCTTGTGGTCACTATCCTGACCATTTTTTTTTATACCAGCCTGTCATTTTCCTTCTGGCTATCCTTTCCTCTATTCTGTGAAAGAACTGCAAATTGAGAAAAATGAAAGAGTAGAGGTTCAATAGTCCAAGAGAGGAGACACCAGGTCTGGCAGAAAGAAAGGGGAGAACCATCAGACTGTGGTCAGAGAACAGGACACAGATAAGGTCCAGAGGTAAAATAGCACTGGGTCATGAGGGCCCCATGGAGCAAGGACACCAAGACTGCCAAGAATCATGGCTGAATTTAAGGTATGACTTAATTATTAAACTGCTTACCTTTGATATAAATTTTTTACAGCAGCTGGTCTGACTGGCAGCTGAAAAATGTGTTGCTCATTAAGAGGATTTTGTTTATAATATTTTATGCATGATCTAAAAAAAAAAATGAACTTCTTTTAAAAAACAGCCATAAAGGTTTTCTAGTAGTCTAAACTCAGACAAGGAAAAAGTTTCAATGTCAACAAAAAGAATGATTTTACTTTCTCACAAAAGTAAAAAGCAAACAAAACACCCCCTCAAACAAAACTTTGGTCATGTTTTTTTTTCTTTGAAGGTGAATCTTATTCACTTTTTAAAAATTAATATTATTAAATACGAGCAGTAATATTTCACATATATATGAATAAATTTAGCTCAATGGTAGAAGGCTTGCCTAATATGCACAAGCCCTTGGGTTTAATTCCAGCACTGGAAAAAAAAGGCCAAATAAAGGCTTATGTGCGGCAAAAGAAATATTAGAAAAACTAAAAGAGGTAGAAGAGAAACAAAGATATAACTTGCATGGTTTTCAGAATCCAGAGAATTAAGAGTTAATTCATTTATGACTGCTCGTCCCTTCCCCTTGCCCCCCCCAACACATGCTAGACAAATGCCCTACCAATGATCTATCCCAGCCCTATACTGACCACTAATGGGAAAAAACTTCCAGATTTTGTAAATGACAACAATTTCAAACTTTCCACTTCACAACTGAGGCAAATTCTAAGTTTGGCAAAGACAATAATCCACTTATTTCTTGTTGGAGGCCTTGGATGAACACAAGACCCCAGCACTCCATGTACGAGGATTATTCCAAACTGTCTTTAGTTAAACTGATCAGAATCCTTAACTGTGGCAATGCTGCTAATAGAGGTGTGATGACACTACTTGATTTTGTTCAATTGTCAGTGAGTAGTCTGACCCAGATTTATAGGGATGTGAAGAAGTGAAAAACAGTATTTATTAAGTGCCTGTTATATGTCAGTTACCTTATACACAGAATAAAATTTAGTCCTTCAGCAAACACATGAGGTTGTTACACTAGATCCTTTGTGTAGCTGAGGAAACAAGATGCAGCGAGAGGAAACTTCTTAAGGAAGGTAGAAAGTTACCAAGCCAAGTGTCAAATCCAAAGCCTTTTTCCTTCCTATGACATTGACCTAGAGTCACACTAATGTGAAGATGGGGTGGACAGATTCTATCCTAACTGGCTATAAAAACTGTACACATTTTTGGCTCCAACTTTCCAGATGAGAATACACTTCTATATAAACAACAGAAAAATACTTACTGTGTTAAAGAAAAGAGCAGCTCATGTTGAGGTTTAATGAAAAGCATGCAACTGACTAATATTTCTAGAATATGGTGGAGTTTTTGAACACGGTAAACCTGTTCTTGTATATCTACTGATGGAGAAATGAAGTATTCCTGGAATGAAAAAAGTACAGCAAAACAGGGAGATAACAAATAAGCAGAATCTTTGGAAAGGATATGGCTATGTTCCCTTTACCTAAGCTTGGATGCTTGGTAACGGAAGAAAAAACGAGGCCGCTTCTTTTTTCACTATGATTCTTCAAACTAAATCAAAAGTAACTGAGAATGCTCTAAGAAAATGCTTATACAGATTCTCTGGTAAAGGCAAATGACACAGCTGCTTTACCAAGGGGTCCCAAATGGGTAGACAATACCACCCATCATACTCTCCAGATACAAAATGGCAGGTCTGTAAGACAATTCTCATCCTCTCTATACTTGCTAAAGTAACAGACATGTTATGTTCACAGCCAAACATATGCCAGAAAGCCTGTGGTACTGAGAAAGTAAGCAAGTGTTTGACAGGTTTAGGTTCACATATCCCTATTACAGACTTTTGGAAGAGAAATTTGGCAATGCATGTCAGCATCATAAAATGCCCAGACTTTCTAATTCTGTTTGACACCCATCCTAATAATCAATGGTAAAAATAACGGGCTAAATTTGTTAGTGGCCACCAAGACTCTGACCTCCTAGATTGCACATCTGTATAATTCCTTCCCCTTAAGAGCCTAGGACCTCTATAAACATGATGGGATTTTATTGCCAGGATTAGGTCACTAAGTGACTATGAGCTAATCAAAAGAGAGTATCGCCTTGTCTATACAATGACCCCATCAGATGAGCCCTCCGGAAGGCAGCAAGGCCTTGGAGATGCTCTTCCACTCACTGTGAATGAGGAAACTGCAGTGCTGTGGGGAGGGCCACATGGCAGCCTCCGGGGCCTGGGATTGGTCCTGAGCCAATATATCAAACCAGTACATTAAAGAACATCTTAATTCCTTGGAAAATAATCCTTCAAGTGTAATATAAATGGGTCAAGAGAATATAAAACAACTGCTCTTTCATAGGGCTAAAGGCACTTCCTAACCATTCTAACTAAGTGAGAGATGTGGTGACACACTGGATTGAGCAGGTGAGGATGATGAATTTATAGAGAATGAAAAATGACACTGAATCATCTATTTTTTCATCTGTCTTACCAAGCAGTAATAATTAAGGGCATCAATTGTCTTATTGATGTTCCTGGAGCCTCAGACAGAGGCTGGCACTTTCTAGGTACTTAATAACCGTATACACACGAGTAGATAAAAGAAAAACCAATTTTAGATTAAAAAATAAACTCACCAAATGATTTAAAGATGCAAGTTCCTGACCTATTAAGAAAAAACACATATATGCAAAAAGAGCTTCAGGAATTTTTATCACATATTGAAAAACTTAAGTAAAAAAGAAACAGTCAGCTAAACAGTTTTTCACAAAAGACCAAATTTTCTGTCACATTATACCATAAATACATAATAATACTTACTCTAAAAACTAAGATAGTTTGCCTGATAAAAAATACCAAGTGTTGAGTATTAAAACAGCATCTCATAAAAGGCTTTATTTACTACGCTAATCTCATAGAATCTCAAATGCATGAACTAAAAGCAAATAAACAACTATAGCGATATCTGACCTTTTTTTTTTTTTTGGTGGTGGTCCTGGGGTTAGCACTCAGGGCTCCACCCTTGCTAGGCAGTCAGTCACTCCACCACTTGAGCCTCTCTCCCAGTCCTAACCTAACACCTTTCACAAGTGTAAAACTGACCCAGTGAGCCAGGAGCAAGCCAGGACCACAAATGCCTAGAACGATAAAATCTGAGAATATCTATGGATGATAACCTGTGATAGGTTCTTTAATTTTTTTGAGTTGGGAAAGGGACTTACCTATGAAAAAACTGATGTAATCTTTTTTTAGTTTGTCCAAACCAATTTCCAAAAGCATTTGAAGTGGAACAGTGCCAGTGAGAGAAACCGCATCCATGGCTCCATGGTAAGACTGATGAATGAGCTTACTAAGCAAGCTATTACTCCCACTGTGGAGCTAGAAACCAAGGACACTGTGTAAACATGAATAAATCCAGCAGGCAAGAGAACTGCATTAGTCACAAGTTACAAAGTATAAACGTGTGGACACTAGAAATTGTTTAAATAAAAGCCCCCAAGTTACAAAATGACAGTTTCTAAAATGCCATTCCAACCTCATTGTTTAAAAGTCCAAAGTAACTAAGGGTTTTAACTTACCACCCTAAATGACAAGCTTAATTTCACCTCAGGACAGTTGGTGTTGGCTCTCTGGATGGTTTAAGTGCTATTGGAAACGTAAGGAATTCCTTCTTGGCTACGATATCCAACATAACTAACTTGATAATATGCAAATTAAAAAGAACTGTGAACTTAGATTTCACATGTGTTCTGAATGCTAAACTAATCTTTTTTTTTTTTTGGCGGTACTAGGGTTTGAACTCAGAGCCTACACCTTGAGCCACTCCACCAGCTCTTTTTTGTGATGGGTTTTTCGAGTTAGGGTCTCACAGAACTATTTGCCTGGGCTGGCTTTGAACCACTATCTTCCTGATCTCTGCTAGGATTACAGGTGGAGCCACCAGTGCCTGACCTAAAACAAATCATTTTAACACACATACTTCTATCATTTTTGTACTACCTTTTATTAACTCTACTTCAAATTTCATCATAATCTTTCACGTTTCTTTAAACCAGTTTCACTTGGTTTGCACTCATTGTGCCTAGCACAATTATACTTTTAAACATCTCACAAACACAGAAACTTTCAAAATTTTAATGGCCCAAACTAAACTACTTAGAATCACTAATGCCCAGTTAGGCAGAGCTTACTAGTCTTTGCTCTGCTCTGGAGTGTACCTTTGCTCACACCTATGAAAGGGCTTTTTTTTTTTGGAATGCTGGGGATCTTGTGCATCTATGAATGTTTTTTAAGTTTGATGGCCATGAACTGGCAGCTACGTTAGTGGGAAATTATAAGGTAAAGAAAGGTCTAATGCAGTTGGAAAAACTTGTATGTAAGGCTCTGGTCACATACTGGTTTCCAGATTTTTCTCTCCAAAATGTATATGTTTATAGTGCTGGTTATATTTCTCCCTTCTTATTGAGTATTAGAAGCATCCCTGCTTCACTTGTCAGCACCATTTTTAGCAGCTATTACACATACATGGCTACATCATTCTTTAGTCATTCTATTAACAAGGGAAATTTAGGTCATTTACATCTTTTTTCTACTATAAAGGAAGTTATGATTATTATTCTGACACATAAAATCTTGATACGTGCTTTTGTGTATGAGTTTAGGGTAGGTAGTAACAAAACAATTATTGGTTCAGAGGGCATGCTACATTTTGAGGCTCTCAGTACATTATCAAAATTGCTTTTTAGAAGGAGCATCTGTTTTTCTTCTCATAAGTGATTATGAAAAAAACCTCATTCACAGAATAGTTAACGATGACAATATTAGTAGCTTATACATACTTACTACTTAACCATGAGCCAGATGCTAGATGTTTGACATGAATCAAATTAGTTAATTCCAAAACAACACTAGAAATAGGTACGAATCCAACCCTTACTTTAAAGATGAGGACACTGGGTACATAGAACTAAGGAAACATGTGCAAGATTACATAGCCAGAAAGCACCAGAGATGGAGTTTACAGTCAGGGCCACCGAGAAGACACTGACACACACTGTCTGACCTACCCATGGCTGTGTGTCACCCCGCTGCAGACTCTGGAGGACCAACGTGAAACACTTCACCAAGTCTTGGTATGAAACCACACCTTGAAAAACAAGTCAGTCCAATATTATTTTCATATTTCTGTAAGTCAAAAAATGGCCTTAATTTTTTTTTTTTTTTGGAAGCACTGAGGTTTGAACTCAGGGCTTCAAGCTTACTAGGCAGGCACTCTACCATTTGAGCCATTCCGACAGCCCCATGCCATTAATCTTAAAGATACACGAAGAAATGACATTTCTGCACTTTATGGATGGGAAAGGGTGCAAATATTAAAAAAAAAAAAAAGAAGAAGAAGAAGAAGAAGATTCAATGTATGGAGCACCAGTAGCTCGCATCTGTAATCCTAGCTACTTAGGAGGCAGAGATCAGAATTGTGGTTCAAAGTCAGCCCTGGGCAAATAGTTTCTTATCTTGAAAAAAGCAACTACAAAAACAAGGGCTGGCAGAGTGGCTCAAGCAGTAAGAGCTCCTGCCTAGCAAGCGTGAGGCCCTGAGTTCAAACCCCAGTACCAGGACTGAATGCATTGTAAAGAAAGATATCAAAACCCAGTTCCCAAAGAAAAACACATTCAGTAAAATCTTAAGGAGCATCTTCTGCTTTTTCTAACTATAATTTTATTAAGATACATGTTTTGGTTCATATAAAAATTAACTAAGTCCAGCAAGGGGCTCATGCCTATAGTCTGGCTACCCAGGGGGCAGAGATCAGGAGAACTATGGTTCAAAGCCGATGAAACTGTTTGAGAGACTCTACCTCTAAAACACTTAACACAAAAAAGGGCTGGTGGAGCAGCTGAAAAGGTAGAGCACCTGCCTAGCAAGTGTGAGGCCCTGAGTTCAATCCCCAGTACCACAAAAATAAATAAATAAATAAATAAACTGTAAGAGTTACTGGATTTTTTTTTTTCTGGTACTGGGATTTGAACTCAAGGTTTCACACTTCCTAGGCAGATGCTCTACCACCTGAGCCACTCTGCCAGCCTTTTTTTGTGTGTGTTGGGTGTTCTTGAGATAAGGTCTTGTGAACTATTTGCCCAGGTTGGCTTCAAACTGCAATTCTCCTGATATCTACCTCTGAGTAGCTAAGATTACATACATGAGCCACCAGTACTCAGCCTGAGTCTTATATTTTGAAAAGCAGGAGAAACCACAGATTTATGAACTGCCTTTGTCTTAATATAATTCTTGAGCAGAATGTGCCAACCCATTATTAGGAAAGAATTCAATAAAAATAGGAATATATTTACACACAAGACCAATAGTACACAATGCAGTATTTCCAAAAGACTTGAATAAAGCGAACATTTTAATCACAATTGACACATACTGCTGCTCATTTTGCACCACAGTTGTTCAGCAAAATCGAGATCACCTCGCACTATGATAAGCACAGATCGATCAACTGCTGCAGTGTCATGCTTCATGGTCTGAAAAATAACAGATTTCAGAGAATATTCAGTTGGTTTTCTAAAGTGAAGTAGGTTAAGCTGTTAAGAGCTGCTCAGAGAAACTGTGGATTCATGAATACATACAACTGCTATTTTCTACAAGTTTTCCTTCGCTGATAAGGATACATCCATGAAAAGATTGCAAAAACTGGACTCTTAAAAGTTGTTTGAAACTATAATGCCCAGCCAGTTGTGGTGGTTCATTCCTGTAATCCCAGTACTGGGGCGGCTGAGGCAGGAGGATGGTGAGTTCAAGGTCAGCCTGGGATACACAGTAAGACTGTATGCCTGAAAGTGAGTGTTCAGCTTTCTTCCCACGTGAAAATACTTTTTTTTTTTATTTTTTATTACTGGAGTTTGAACTCAGGGCCTACACGTTAAGCCACTCCATCAGCTCCTTTTTTGTGATGGCTTTTTCTCAAGACAGCATCTCACAAACTGTTTGCCAGGGCTGGCTTCGAGCTGAGATCCTCCCGATCTCTCCTCCTGAGAGGCATGGGCACCCAGTGAAATTATCTTTGTCTCCATTTCCTTTCTACCAAATGATAATATATGTAGGTTAATTTAATAATACCACATAGGGCACGGTAATGTACCACCTTACAGTACATTAGTATGTGATAGCAGTATCACCCATAGCACATTAACACATTCATTTCTACTTCTCTGCAACTAAGTGACTGAGGATACACATGCCCGCACCAGATCCATTTAAAACAGAACAAAAAGATACCAGCAATTAAAAGCAATTCCAGTACACATTCTAACTGATAACCACTTACCTCTGTGTCTTTTTTTGTAGAATCACCAAATCCATCCAGCTTATTTAAGTCTAGAAAGTGGCAAAAACTTATTAACTTGAGTTTCTTTTTCTGCTTTCCAAATTATTTCCATCCTAACCCTATTTTCAAGTGGTAAATTGAAAAGAGAATTATAACTGGAAACTTTAGCAAATCACTGAACTCTGCAGTGGAAGTAACAATAGATCCCCATCAGGTAGGGCTGTGAGGACAAGTGGAGTAACGTGAGAGTGCCTGACACACATGTTGAGTACATGGCAGGTACTCAAAGGTTACTCTTTCATCACTCTTTCCCCATGATCTCAAATATGGCTGAGTTATATAAATTTCAATCTGAATCTTACTGGTTTTTAAAGTTACTTAGATCTCTACTATTAGCACTTTAAAAGCTGTCCCACCAACCATAGCTGACCATACATCCCATAGCCATGATACATCCCAACTAAAAAAGAATATCAAGTCTATTTAGGTAAGTACTGAATTCTCAATCAAGAAAAGCAAACAACAAACAAGAGTTGGGAAAACAAACACCATTCAGAAATTCCTGCACAAGTTCAACAGCAGATTTTGCTTCCAGAGGCTCGAGCCACTCAGTCACACCAGTCCTCACACCTTCAGCCAAAACCTATGGGGAATTTAAAAGAGCAGAAAACATAGCTTAGTCAACAAGGGTGTATTTAATAATTCTGTTAATTGCAGTAACATCTGGAATTGCCAGGCATTGCTGAGGTGCTTTGTGTGCAGTATGGTAGTTAATCCCTCATATGTCTATGCAGTAGACATTACTACTACCCTCACTCTGAGAGATTAAACAGCTTGCTCAGTTACGCAATTAGCAATGGATAGTACTGGGATCGCATCCAGAAATCTGATTCTGTTGTGCCACAGAGGGGTCAGCACAAATGACACCAGTCCTGCCCTGAACATGCCTGTAGTTTTTTTAAGAATAGATACTACAGATGATATGAACAGGAAATGACACATGTAAAACTGAATGGAAGCTTATATAGAAATGATGTAAGTATGTACACATGTAGGAACAATACCTAAGCAGGATGAAGGAAAGGCAGTCAAGACAGGCTGCAATAGCCAAGCACAGAAGCTCACACCTGGAAATCCTAGCTATTCAGGAGGCAAGAGATTCGGAAGATCATGGTTCAATGCCAGTCTAGGCAAAGCTCTTGAGACCCCATCTCAACAGTTAAAAAGCTGGGCATGGTGGCAATTCCCTGTCATTCCAGCTATGCAGGAAGCATAAGTAGTAGGACTGTGGTCCAGGCTGGCCCAGGCATGCATGTGAGACCCTATTCAAAGAATACCTAAAGCATAGGGTTTGGGGGTGTGGCTCAGGTGGTATAACACCTACCTAGCAAGCAAGCATCCGGCCCTGAGTTCAAACCCCTATTCCACAAAAAAAGAACACAAAGCCAGGGGAACAATGTGAGGCTTTGTCTGCAACTCAGCTGTGTGGAGACCATGGATTGCAGAGCAGGGAAGGAGCATAGAATACGATGAAGAGGTGAGACGACAAAGTGGAGGGCGGGGTATAGAAGGAACTGGGGTTGTATCATCAAAAGATCTTAAAAGTTTGAAAAGATTTTTTGGATTCATATGGGAGACAACAGCCACCGTTTTTTTTTTTTGGCAAGAAAATGACATGATCAAGTAGGTAACAATTCCTTTGTCTAAGAAAATGAGAAAGCACAATATTTTTCAGAAGAAATGATACAATAGAAACAATGAGTGATCTTTAGAGTGTGCTGGAGGGAGAAGATAAGGACTTTCAGATGGACACAGTAAGAGACTTCAAAGGACAAAAAGAAGAGTATACAAGCCCGGCACCAGTGGCTCATGCTATAATCCTAGCTGCTTGGGAGGCAGAGATCAAAAAGATCAAGGTTTGAGGCCAGGCCAGGCGAATAGTTCAAGACTCTATCTCAAAAATACTCAATACAAAAAAGGGCTGTCAAAGTGGCTCAAGTGGTACAGTGCCTGTCTAGCAAGTGTGAGGCCCTGAGTTCAAACCTCATACCGCCAAAAAAAACCAAAGGAAAAACATCCTACCCCCTTATAAAATACAGGGGTTGAACTTGAAGAGAGCATGGCCACATGCACATCTATGATTCTGTGAATTTTTAAGGGAGATGCCAACAAAGCACAGACTTCTAGATCAGAAAACTAACATGCATTCAAAGGACTCTTTTTTTCTTTTGGTGGGACTGGGATTTTAAACTCGGGGCTTCATGCTTACAAAGCAGATGCTCTACTGCTTGCCACACCTGTAGTCCACTTTGCTCTGGTTTGTTTTTTTGAAGATGAAGGGTCTATTTTTGCTGGCTGTCTTCAAACCACGATCCTCACAATCTCAGCCCCTCAAGTAGCTAGGATGATAGGTGTGAGCCACCAGGGTCCAGCCAATGAAAGGACTTAAAGCAGCACTTTACTTACTAGATAACATAACCACTTGGTGCACAGCAGAGTAGCAACTCCTAGCTGGAGTAGTAGGTGTGTTGTCAGGACAGAAGCTTTTACTAAAGTAAGACATAAGGTTTCTAACCACAGTATTGAAGGGGCAGTAGAATTTGGACAGAAAATGCTGGGGTGGGGAGGAATCTAGTTGGGAGAAGATACCAAGTTTCATTATGGACATACTGACAAGTGGGTAATAATTTGATGAAAGTTGGAAAGATGGGAACTGGGATCAGCTTAAAATGAGGGTCTGAATGGATAAGCTCTACAGAAGTGTGGCAAAAAAGGACAGAGTGTGAAGATAGAAGTATGATGTAAGCCCACATTAAATGTCCTGAAAGTGGAGCCTTCAAGAAAGAAGAAAGGTGAATGGCTAGTCATGGTGGCATATGTCTGTAATCCCAGCTATGCAAGAGGCATAGACAGAAGGGGTGCAGTCCAAGGCCAGTCCCAGGTAAAAAATGTGAATCTGAAAAAAAAAAAATAAATAAAAAATAACTAAAGCAAAAAAAAAAAAAAAAAGGGCAGGGGTGTGGCTCAAGTGGTAGAGCACCTGTCCAGCAAGTGTAGGTCTTTGAATACAAAATTCCAGTGCTGCCAAACAAAGAAAAGAAAAAAGAAGGTGAGAACGGTAGCAAAAGCATGAGTTTCGTACAAAGTATCCAACATTCTTGACATTGTTCTAGATTTTGAAGGCACAAAAGGATCTCTAGTAGACTAGAGACCATTTCTTTGTAAAGAAAGAAATGACTATGTTTGATAAAGACTGACAGGGAGCATGTGAAGTTCTGAAGCAACATAAGACATTGTGCAGATCAATGCACCCAGGAAGGAGCTCACACAGAAAAAAGGTGGGAGAAGTATACACTGGGCAGGTCAAGACACACATCAGAAAGTGACAGTGTATGATACAGAAGCTACTATGAGCAAGGAGCTCAATACAGCAAGCATTGGGGGTTCACTGGGAATAGTGAGGAGGTTGTGAGATTAAGATAAAGAAATAAAGAGAAGAAATAAACATATGAAAATACGTTCAACATCATTAGCCATTAGGGAAATTCAAATCAAAACCACAAGAGGCCACTTTGTTCCTACTAGGATGGCTACAATCACAAAAACACACATCGAGTGTTGGTAAGGCTGTAGAGAAATGGGAACCCTCACACAATGCTAATAGGAATGTAAAATGGCACAACCAGGAGAATAGGTATAGCCTGCCAGTCCATCAGAAGTTTAAGCACAGAGCCTTGCGTGGTGGTATATGCTTCAAGACACAGCTGAAGCGGGAGAATCCCTTGAATACAGTAGTTCGCCTAGGCAAGACAATGAGACCACCTCCTGAGTTCATTCTCCAACATCACAGAAAAAAAAGGTTAAATATAATTACCGTATGACTCAGAAATTCCATCCAAGAGATATGAAAACAGCTTCACCCAAAAACATACATTAATGTTCAAAGCAACATTATTCATGATAGCCAAAAATAAAATGTCCATCAGCTGATGAACAGATGAACAAAATGTGGTATGTCAATAAATGGAATGTTATGTGGCAATAAAAAGGAACAAAGAACTACATTAAGTAGATCAGTGCAATCACACAGGCTGATGGAGATGCTGCTTCATTTAGGGGCGATGAAAATGTTCTAAAATTCATTATGGTGATGGCTGTATGACTTGGGTAAATTTATTAAAAGCCAGTGAATTATACGCTGAAAATGGGCAAATTTTGGGGAGATGGAGGGGGATAAAGGAGAATGATGGAGGGGATAAATTCAACTATGATACATTGTAAGACCTTCTGTAAATGTCACAACGTACCCCCAGTACAACAATTATAATAAAAAAAATCTTAAAATGGCCAAAAAAAGAAAAAAAAAAACCAGCAAATTTTATGAGCTGCAATTTATATCAATAAAACTAAAAAAGGAAAGAAGGAAGAAAGAATGAATGTGATCGCTTAAGTCTGTAATCCTAGGGAGGTAGCAATCAGGAGGATCGAGGTTCCAGGCCAGCCGGGGCAAAAATATAGTGAGATCCCCATTTCAACCAAGAGCTGGGAATGGTAGTGTGCAATATGGGGAAACACAAATGGAGGGTTGTTGTCCAGGCCTGCCCACACATACAGTGAGACCTTATCTCAAAAATAACCAATGCAAAAAGGGCTGGCAGATTGGTTCAGTAATATAGTGCCTGCCTAAGCAAATGCAAGGTCCTGAATTCAACTCCCAGCACAGAAAGAGAGAGAAGGTTATGTATATAAAAACTGTACATAGATGGTTTCTGGGAGGTAAAATAGATGGATGAATTCCCACCAAGAAAGAAGTCTTTGCTGGGCACTGGTGGCTCATGCCTATAATCCTACCTACTAAGGAGGCAGAGATCAGGAGGATCACAGTTTGAAGCCAGACTAGGCAAGTAGTTTGTGAAACCCTATCTCAAAAAAAAAAAAAAAAAAATCACAAAAAAGGGCTGATGGTGTGGCTCAAAGTGTAGGCTGTGAGTTCAAACTTCAGTACCATAAAAAAAAAAAGAGAAGAGATGAGAAATAAGCAGAGCAGCAGCTGGATAATAACTGTTCTGTGTGAGGACAGACATTGGAATTTTTACTAATTAAAATGAGGCATCCTCTTGAGATTTGTTAGATCAGAGCTAAATTTACTGAATCATAATTCTTGAAACACATGCTCGTTAATCTTTACCATTGATCAAAATGCCAGTTATCAATAGCAGACTATATATATATATTTGCATTTGGATAAACTGTCAGCTGACCCCATCATCTGCATAAAAACCAAACGCTCCAGTAGAAAAGGTGAAAGTCTGCAGCAGTTACTGATCCAATGTCCCTTTCATTGTAAGGACAATTGCTGCAGAAATACAATTAAGCTGCCCAAATTGCCAAAGGTATCAAATGAATACATTCAGAACAAAGTTTGAAGAAAGTAAAAGTTATATTAAACATTTTCATGAACAATGAAGTTAAGTTAGGAATTGCAGAAGGATACTTACAAGCAGGAATTTCAGTTCTCTGTGAAGATGATTCAGACAACCTCTGGGCTCTCCTGATTCCACTCTGATATTCTAAAAAGTACCCAGAGTGTCAGATTTCACTGGTAATCACATCTTCTCTGCATAAGGGTCACAGTAATTTCCATTTCAAATCACCCCCACATTAAAAAAACATGCTTCATAAAGCACCAATGAAGCCTGGGCACTGGTGGGTCACACCTGTGACTAATCCTAGCTACTCAGGAGGCAGAGATCAGAAGGATCACAGTTCTAATCCATCCCGGGGAAATAGTTTGAGAGACCCTATCTCAAAAAAAACCATCACAAAAAGGGCTGGTGGAGTGGCTCAAGGTATATGCCCTGAGTTCAAACCCCGGTACTACAAAATAAATAAGTAAATAAATAGCACCAATGAATTAAAATTAGGTTACACCTCATTCAGAACACCAGGACTGAGGTTTGAACTGAGAGCCTCATGCTTACTAGGCAGAGGCTCTACCACTTGAGCCACTCTGCCAGCCTCATTTAGAACATCTTACCCAGAGAGCAGCCGATATAGTAATCTACATCCAGCCCATCACACCCTCCCTCCATACCATGAACACGGGACAACTGCCCCTCACACACTCTCCAGCTCCTTCTCATAGAATTTCCAAGAGGACAAGTTAGGAAAAATTTAATTAATTAAAAACTAAAAACTCAAAGATTAATCATTATCACACACCAAAAACAAAGCCCAATAAAACTAATAGCTCACTATCATAGTCAGAGTTCAAAGTTTTACCTTGAAAGGAAAAACTGAATGTCAATGTATATAAACTCCTATTATAGGAAAAGAAAAGCACAAAGAATATAATTATCTATAATCCTACCACTCTGAGGACACCACTGTTAATGCTAGGCAGGCTTCTGTGTATATGTTTTAAAAACATAACCAAGGTTCATAGCTGATTCATGTACATATTAAATTCACACAGTGATTCAAAAGCATATTATTGTGAATATTTAAGTATTTTCCCTTTTTTTTTTTTTTTTTTTTGCCAAATGACCATTTCCTATTATTTTTAAGGATATTTTAAAACATGATTTTTAGTCAGGCATGGTGGCTCACACCTGCAATTCTAGATAATTGGAAGGCTAACATTGGGAGAACCATGATTTGAAGCCAGGCTGGGAAAGTTTTTGAAACACCCCCCACCCTCATCTTAACCAATGGCTGGGTGCAGTGGCACACCTGTCATTTCATCAGGAAGCTGAGATCAGGAGGATCAGTTTCAGGCCAACATGGGCAAAAATATCAGACCCTATCCCCAAAATAATAAGAAGAAAGCAAAAAGCATCTGCCTAGCAAGCACAAGGCTCCAAGTTCAAACCCCAGTACAGACAGAGGGAGAAAAGAAGAACAGAAAAGAAAGAAAAGAGGGAGGGAGGGAGGGAGGGAGGAAGGAAAAGAAAGGAAAGGAAAGGAAAGGAAGCAATCAAGCAAGTAATCAAGCCAGCCAGTCTGTCTATTTCTATGAATTTCATTATGGAAATGTATTTTAACTATTTCCCTGTTGAGCATTCAAATTGTGCTCTTACTACTTTGGAAACACTGCTATATCTCTGTATTGAATATCGTAAACATGAGTTTTTGTTTCTGACTAGCTTCTTAAGACAGACCCTAGACCTAAGTCTGAGGTAAGGACTTCCCGCAGTAGCAAGTCTTGAGAGGCTGCTGATATTTGCATCCTTAAGAACTGCAGAGACCCTAAGTCATTTTGATGATTCCACTTGAGTGCCCACTCAAGAAGCTGCATTAATCACAAGAAAATTCTAAGTTCTGGAATTGTGGAATTGTGAGCAACCGACAGCTTTGCTCACTTGGCAAAACCTCTCCTTGGCCCCCAGGGCCAGACAAGCCTTTCTCAGTTGTCCAGCCTCACACCCAGTGGCTACCAGGGTGGGAAACATGCAGCAGCAGAAATAAGCAAGTGAACTAGATTCAGAAAATTAAGGGACCCAAAGAGCAAATATGGACCCCTCTTACCAGAGTTGCAGTTGATGAGAGTGGAGGAATCTGAAGGATTTCATCCACGGGACTCCAAGAAATATCCAAAGTGATGGCAGTTTGTGATGGGATGACTGTATCATCCAAGACAGTGGACTTAAACAGCTCATACCGGGCAAAGCCTCTGGCTGTTACCTGAAAAGAGTGCAAACCAACAGAACTTTAGCTATGTGTTCACCTGGCAAAAACCCATTATCAAAACTACTGTGGTAGAGTGCCTGCCTAGCAAGTGCAAGGTCCTGAGTTCAAACTCCAACACTGCCAAAAAACTAGTTTGATTTTTGACACAAAAGAAGAAACAAAAACAATACCACCATACTCCATATGTTCAATCTAAATGTAAAAATAAGGTAATTCTTTTAAACCACAAATATTAGCTAAAACACAAGAAGGCACATACAGTTGGCACTCTGTATACATGAGTACAACATCTATGGATTCAACCAACCATGAATCAAAAATACTTTTTTAGCCAGGTGCAGTGGCTTGTGCCTGTAATCCCACCAACTCAGGAGATTGAGAGGACTGGGGTTCTGGGGTTCCAGGCCAGCCTTTGAAAAAGTTAGCAAGACCACCATCTCAATCAAGAAACCAGGCATGGTGCCACAGGCTTGTGGATCCCAACTATGTCATTCTCCAAACAGTTAGGTAGGACAACTATTTAACAAAGCATTCGCACTACATTAGGTATTAAAAGTCACCTAGCGATGATCTTTAGTAAAGGAAGACATGCATAGACAGGGTCAATGTACCACTGCACCATTTCACATGAGGGACTTGAGCATCTGCAGATTTAGGTATTTGAACCAATCCCCTCCAGACACTGAGGGATGACTGTATCTTAGCTAATATGAAAATAAATACAAACTTTTTTTGGGTGGGGGCAATACTGGGGTTTGAACTCAGGGCCTCTCACTTGCCAGGCAAGCACTGTGTCACCTGAGCCATGTCCCCAGCCCTTTTTGCTTTTAGATAGAGTCTTGAGCTTTTGCCCAGGGCCAGCCTTAAGACTGCAGTCCTCCTACCTCTGCCTCCTGTGTAGCTGAGATTACAGGTGTGGATTACCACGCCTGGCTTGTTTGTTGAGAATGAATCTCACTAACTTTTTTACCTAGCTGGTTCGCTAGCCTCTAACCAAGATCCTCCTATCTGTACCTTTTGAATAGCTTGGATTAGAAGACTGTATCACCTTGCCCAGCTGACACAAACATTTTGACATAAAAGTATCTGTAGTAAATAAACTCAAAAGGCAGCTCAGTAACAGTTTGAATAAAGTAACAAAGGAGAAAAACTTACAGTAGACAAGTGGTGTCTTTTCTTGTGTGAATTTTTTAGGTTTCCCAGAGTTACAGAGTAATTTTTATCAGCTACGGAACATGAAAGAAAGCAAAAAAAATTAGAGGTACAATTTAAAAATACATTGTTAGAGCTAGGCATGCTGGCACACACCTATAACTTCAGCACTCAGAAGTGTGAGTTCAAGGCCAGTCTGGGCTTGTCTCAAACAACTTTATATATATATGTATATATATATATATATATATATATATATATACATATATACATACATTATATATATACATATAAAATTAGACAGCTGGGTACAGTGGTGCACAACTGTAGTCCCAGCTGTACTTGAGAGGCTGAGATAGGTGGCCCACTTACACCTAGGAGTTAGAGACCAGCCTGGGCAACAAGCAAGACCCCATTCCCCCCACAAAAAAAGAAAAGGTTAAAAGCATAATTAAATTCCTACTATGAAACTGGATTTATACTGTCATTATATTCAGTTTTTCATACTCTAACAAAAATTTCCAAAACTACATATGAATCAAGTGAAACCCAAACAAAATAGGAATAAACTCCCATCTAGACTTCTTGGTGTTTCTGGAATACTTCCCACATGCTGCAAGTTACAAACTAGACTAGATTCAAGAAATTGCCCAGTGTTCCAGTGTATACCCTTCCCTCTTAACATCAATTTCCAGTAAAAACCACAAAACAGTAACTGTAGGAACACACACACAGAGTAAAGAGTAAGCACTCACCTTTACAAGTGACCACATACAAGACAATTCCTGCAACACCGTCATTTGTTGTGATAAGCTCAGCTCCTAGCCAACAGGTACCTTCAGGATCTGAGCTGTCACATCTCACCCAGAGGGGAGGAAGAGCAGTAGCTGGCCGATTCATCTTCAAATGGGTCATGTTAGGATTGTGAGCCATGGTATAAAGTCCAATGATCTGCCTTGAAAACGAGAGTAAGAAAAACAAATTACAGATAGAGATTGTATTTTCTTTTTGGCTCACAGTGGTGAGCATGTGCTTAGGAAGGCCCAGGGTTCAATCCCCAGCACCACCAAAAAAAATTTTTTTCTTTAAAAAGGTATCATGAAGGATCTCACAGAAACAACAACCTGGAAATGATGTGGCAAACCGCATACATACATATTTCACCCAAAGTGAGGACAGAGCACACCAGACTGATGAACACATACGTGCACCAGAAAGTGCTGGAGCGTGACCAGGTGGGAGCAACTCCCCATAGGAAGCTCTAGATGACGAGGGCCACAGGACTGGGACAGAAGTAGAGTATGAGATCACGCTAAAGACATAAGGAGGAACCCACAAGTGCACTAAAAGATACTCAGTCATTAGTACATTCTCAAGGATGTTTGAATGTGGGCCCTGAATTGGGTAACAGTATTATAATCAATGTCTCCAATGTACTGTCTATACTTTGTTAAAAAAAAAAAAAAGTGTGAGAGCTGGGTGTGATGTAAAGATATCAAAATTAAACATTACCCCAAAAATGTAGCTTAACTTTCTAGTTTTCAGAGATGAAAACAATTTACTATTACTAGATGTTTAAGAAATTTCTTTTTTTAAATTTAATTTTATTTATTTATTTTTTTCTTTTATTATTCATATGTGCATACAAGGCTTGGGTCATTTCTCCCCCTTGCCCCCACCCCCTCCCTTACCACCCACTCTGCCCCTTCCCTCTCCTCCCCACCCCCTCAACACCTAGCAGAAACTATTTTGCCCTTATTTCTAATTTTGTTGAAGAGAGAGTATAAGCAATAATAGGAAGGAACAAGAGTTTTTGCTGGTTGAGATAAGGATAGCTATACAGGGCATTGACTCACACTGATTTCCTGTGCATGTGTGTTACCTTCTAGGTTAATTCTTTTTGATCTAACCTTTTCTCTAGTTCCTGCTGCCCTTTTCCTATTGTCCTCAGTTGCTTTTAAGGTATCTGCTTTAGTTTCTCTGCGTTAACGGCAACAAATGCTAGCTAATTTTTTAGGTGTCTTACCTATCCTCACCCCTCCCTTGTGTGCTCTCACTTTTATCATGTGCTCAAAGTTCAATCCCCTTGTTGTGTTTACCCTTGATCTAATGTCCACATATGAGGGAGAACATACGATTTTTGGTCTTTTGGACCAGGATAACCTCACTCAGAATGATGTTCTCCAATTCCATCCATTTACCAGCGAATGATAACATTTCGTTCTTCTTCATGGCTGCATAAAATTCCATTGTGTATAGATACCACATTAAGAAAGGAATTTCTAAGGGATTTTACATCAAAAAGGAAGTACAATAAGCTCAGACAGAAGGTCTGAAATACAATCAAGAATGATAAAAATGCTAAGTATGTTTTTTTTTATTTATTTATTTACTTATTTTGCAGTATTGGCCTTTGAACTCAGGACCTCAAGCTCACTAAGCAGTTGCTCTTACTGTTTGAGCTGCTCCACCAGCCCTCTTTGTGATGGTTTCTTTGATAGGGTCTCTCAAACTATTTCCTGGGATGGATTAGAACTGTGATCCTCCTGATCTCTGCCTCCTGAGTAGCTAGGATTACAGGTGTGCAACCAGTGCCTTGCAAAAGCAGTAAGTATATGATACGGATCAATCCAAACAAACACTGGCTGGAGAAAACCATACATCTGAAATGCTCAAGCTATGGAGGAGAAAACAGGACACATCATGGCTAAAACTCAAGGAACCATGAAGAAAGAGACTGATTAATTTACAACAAAAAAGTTTTCAAACTTTTATAAAGCAAATACACTAGCATGAAGGAAAATCACTTTGTGAACTGCTGTTATTAGTTTTCTGACTTAGTCCTCAAGAACTCCTTGAAGGTGAGTTTATGGTTTTAAGGCAGGAGGAGGCAGGCGGCAGGGAAGCAGGAAGAGAGCCTGAAGAGGCAGCTGCAAGCATTATAGGGTTTCTTTTTTTTTTTTTGCGGTACTGGGGCTTGAACTCAGGACCTACACCTTGAGCCACCAGCACCCAGCTAGGGTTCCAACAGGAGCAGGCTAGCATCTTGGCTAGGATAATTCCTGTGTGCAGGACTTTCACCATCCATGGCCCAGGCCCTCTAGCTCCCCTTGGTCCTTATGACAACTAAAAACACTCCTAAGTATTCCGGATGCCCAGTGGATAAGGAAACCTCCAGTGGAGGACCTCTGTCACTAGACAGTGAAGGCTCCTATGTGCCACTCATGAGGAATTTGGGTTTTATCATGAAGGCAATGAAGAACACCTAAAGGACTTTTAAGCAAGAAAGCAACACAATCAGGTTTTCATTTTATGACGACTGCTCTGGCAGCACTGAAAAAGAAAGACTGGAGGGGACCAGGTTAGACGCAAGGAAAACAACTAAGAAGTAACAACAAACTGATGGAGGGAGTGGAAAAAGAGGCAACGGAAAAAGAGGCAGCAACTGCAGTCCTTCTGGTCATATTCAAGATACTTACAAGGGCTGGGGCGTAGCTCAAGCGGTAGAGCACCTGCTCACCAAGCGCTAAGCTATAAGTTCAAACCCTAGTACCGCCTCTACCCAAAAGATTCCTATGTGACATCCAAGTAGAGCCATCCTCAGACATTTGGACCTACATATTGAGGGAGGAGGGAATAATGGAAAGGGAGATATCTGAACGCTAGATACACAGATGTGTGTGTGGGTGGGGGGTACTGGGAATTAAACTTGGGGCCTCGTACATGCTAGGCAGGAGTCATGCCCCTAGTCTTTTTTCTTTTTTAAGTTTGTTTTCAGATAGAGTCTTGACTTTTGCCCAGACTGGCCTGGAACCATGATCCTCCAGAGTTGTCCACACAACATTCAGCTTGTTTTTTGAGATAGGTCTCATTTTTGCCTGGGCTGGCATCAAACCACAATCCCATCTATGCCTCCTGAGTAGGGAGATTACAGGTGTGCACTAGCACACACAACCTATATTCATGATTTTTCAATGTTTATAAAAATGCTTCAGTTTAAATCCTACTCGCCACCTCTACCCCTATATAAAGAAATACTCACCTTGCTCTCCCAACTGGTAAAGCAAATGGCCCCACAGCTTCACCAGTAGAGAAGTCAGAAATAGCAGTTTCTTCAGAGGGTGGTTCTTCAACATAACTCGTCTCTTCCTTTTCAAAAGCCTTTAAAAACATTTTTATTATTTAACCAAATTGGAGAGAACTTAAGTGAGTACTCAACTCCTTCCTGTGTGAAGGAGTAACTACCATGCCACTTCTATATTCCTAAGCACAAATCTTGCCATCGCATCCCTCCACTCTCCCATAAAAAGGTATTGGTTTTAGTTGCTATGTGTACAGGAAGCATCTGTGTTCCAACATCCTAACTGACAAGCAAAAGGAAAGTACTGGGGAAACTCGGGAGACTTGTTGGAGTTTTCATTCCCCACCTGGAAGACATTGTTTCTAGAGTCCACAGCCCTCACTTTTCTTTTGAGACAGGTTCTTGCTGTACAGCCCACACTGACCCTGAACTTTTGATCCTCTTGCTCAGCCTCCCCAGGGCTAGAATTACAGACATGTGCCATCAGGCCCAGCCACATCCTTCATTTCTTATATCCACTCCTCTTAGCACTATCAGCTCATTGGTGCTACAGGGTTCTAATATCTATGTCTTCACAAAATAGTTCAATAATTCAGCTTTGGCAAAGATAACAATAATTGCAAAAGTTAGTACTTCTTGAGCATCACTATGTATTCAGTCACTGCTATAAGTTATCTTTTACTCTCATAAAAAAAATCCTAATACCTGAAGGTACCTGTTGGCTAGGAGCTGAGTTTATCACAACAAATGACAGTGTTGCAGGAATTGTCTTGTATGTGGTCACTTGTAAAGGTGAGTGCTTACTCTTTACTCTGTGTGTGTGTTCCTACAGTTACTGTTTTGTGGTTTTTGCTGGAAATTGATGTTAATAGGGAAGGGTATACACTGGAACACTGGGCATGCACCACCATGCCTGGTTTAGTTAAAAGCATTATACTAAGCAAAAGAAGTCAATTTCAAATGGTTGTACATTGACTTATTCCATTCATGACTCTTGAAAAGACAAAATTACAGTGAGTACAGAAGGGAGAAGAGATCAGCAATTAGCGGGGGTTCTGATTATAAAGGACTAACCTGAAGGAGGTTTTTGGTGAGGTGGAATTATTCTGTATCCCTACTGTGATTACAAGTTTCTATGCATGGGTCAAAATTACCAGAACTGAGCAACAAACGGAAAAAATCAATTTTATTGGCTTAATAATTGCACTTTCTTTTTTTGGGCAGGACTAGGATTGAAACTTAAGCAAGTACTTGCACTTGCTAGGCAGGTTCTCTACCACTTGAACCATGCTCCCAGCCCTTTTTGTTTTAGGTATTTGTCAAATGGGGTCTCGTGTTTATGTCCCAGCCAGCCTGGACCATGATCTTCCTATTTTCACTTCCCAAACAGCTGGGATGACAGGAATGAAAACTGTGCCCAGCTGTTGGTTGAGATGGGGTTTCACTAACTTTTTGCCCAGCTGGCCTAGAACTGTGATCTCCTGAGTAGCTAGATTATAGGTGTGAGTCACCATGCAGGATCTCACCTGGTACTACAAAATTTTAAATTACATATACGCTTGCACTATATTTCAACTAGACAAGACATCATCACCATGCTTATTCTTAAAAGAATTAGTATCTACTTTCACTAATGCTGCTAGAAAAATGTGTATACTTGAGAATATTCCCAAGGAACAAAATCTGGTTCATGAGAATTAAACAACCACAAAGCCTAAGCACTGCTTACCGCTTTTTCCACAATGAATACTGAGTCATTTTCATTTAGAATATTTTTCAGAGGATTTGGTTGACTTTTGCTGATCAGTTGCACTTGGATATCAGCCTGTTAAAAACAGATGTCAAGCAAGATTATACATACACATGCACGTGTGTGTGTATATGTATATGTATTTGTGCAAATATTCAAACACATAAAGACCAGTTGATTAGGAAACAAAATGTTTTCATTTACTTTACTGCCCATGTTATTTCTTATCTTTACAAAACCGAGCTCAGGCCGGTACAGCGCCCGCCTTGCAATGTGAGGCCCTGAGTTCAAACCCCAGTACTGAAGGACAAAAAGAAAGAAAGAAAGATAACCCAGCTCATATATCTGCACCTAGTCAGACTCAAGGCCCACCTGAAGCAGGTACTGTGCTAGGCTGGGGATACAGCTTAGTGGTAGAGGGCTTGCCTAGCATGCACAGGCCCTGGGTTCAATCCCCAGAACCATAAGAAGTAAATAAATAAATATATAAATATATGTATGTATCTATATGTATTTAATGCATTAATCTTATAAATGTTGGCTTTATCTCCCCAACTATGAAGCATTTATGAACACTTAGGACAAATCAGATTCTTAATAAATGTATGAATATGCAGAGCAGCTCTTTCATTATCATAAAGAACTAGAAACAACCAGATGTCCCTCAACCCATGACGAGATAACCACACTAGCACTCCGACACTCAGTAATAAAAGGGGATGACCTGAGACATGTAACATGAATCTCAAATGCATTATACTAACTGAAATAGCCAAACCCCAAGGGCTGTATGCTTTTATTTGTATGACATTCTGGAAATAACAAAACTATAGACAGAAAACAGATTAGTACTTGCCAGAGACTAGGGACAAGAGACAGCACTGACCATAAGGGGTCACGAGAAAACTTTTAGAGATGAAAGAAATATTCTATATCTTGATTATGGGATTGGTTATATGACTAAAAGTATTATGCCAAAGTTCATAGAACTATACCCAAAAGGGAGAAATTTACCATATGTACATTAACTTCAATATACCTAACTTAAAAATGCACAATTATAGGATCAATGACTTGTGTGTAAAAACCAAATAAACTGTTCATACCTCATAAATAAATGGATCTTTACAGATTCCTTTCTTTTCTTCATTGAATTCCCTGAAATGCAGAATCACATGTGAGAAACAGCTGTGGTATCTGTCCTATTATTTAAATTCAGAAGTTAGCTAGCATTTTATTTCTGCATATCAGTGGAACAAAAGCAAAGTACTTATGGTCGTTGTAAGACATAGTTTTAAAAAGGGGAAAAAGAATGCTGGTGGCTCATGGCTGTAATCCTAGCTACTCAGGAGGCAGAGATCAGAAGATCATGGTTCAAAACCAGCAGGGCAAATAGTCTGCAAGACCCTATCTCGACAAAACCCATCACAAAAACAGGGCTGGTGGAGTGGCTCCACTGTAGTCCCTGAGTCTAAACTCCAGTAACACAAAAAGAAAAAAAAAGAAGATAAAAGAACTAAAAAAAGAGACTTGTGACAGATATTAGACTGCAGGCTACAATTAGGGACATACTAGTTCTTAGAGGCAGCAAGAAATTAGGTTGCCTCCCCCAAACACATCACCAGTTAATTATAAAATGTAATCTACCACATGACTTTTGGAAAGTAAAAATGACTGGATTCAGACCTGTCACTGAATCAGTGATAGCCACTGAGAAGTTACTTATGGGTTCCAGGCCTTAGACTTCTGTAGCTCCACTTCTGGAGTTAATGCTAAAAAAACAGTAGTGCGATTATGTTGAACATTTCCTTTTAAAAATGTAAAAACCTTTAGGATATCATTTAATAATTAAATGTTTAATTCAAGAAAGATTTTTAATAGTGATCTCAAAACACATAAACTACAAACCATTAACATTCAAAATGCACATAGCCCGATCCTTTTGAACCAGTGAGGGAACCAAACATGACCTACTGAACAGGAAAACAGGCCTGTGAATGATTCACTTCTGCCATATTGTGCAAGACTGTGAATTACTCCTAACAGATATTTGCCTTTTACATATAACTCAGGAATATTAATTAATCAGCCACCAAATAATCATCTGTCAAGCACATGAATTATAGGCTGGCACTCTTGATTGATGCTGGTATATCAAACAAAACTATAGTTTTGACTGAAATCAGTTACAGGGAAACAAGCACTCTGACAGAGGCAAGAGCTTCCTATACAAGAAGTGGTTATGTTGAAGATTTAGCTACAGGCCTTGAATTTTATTCTGAAAGCCCAGAAGAACTTAGTAAAAGATTCTAAATGGAAAAGATCTCTGACAGTACTGTGGAGCATAACTTGGAGTACAGGAAAATGGCTGCAACTTTTAACACTTCGGAGAAAGGATAATGGCCTGACCTGGAACAGTTGGAGTGAAGGAAGAATAAGACTACTGAAAAGATGAGGGGGTGTGGGGGAAGGTGAAAGAGAAGGAAGTTGGGGTCTTGGATTTAGAACTCTAAACTCAGAGACATTCAGAAATAGAATGTCAGGTTAGGAGGAAAGATTAACTCAATCTTGGTGGCATTGATGTTGAGGTCCTATGTAAAACTCTCCAGCAGCTGAACACACAAGCACTGTAAGGCATACAAGAAAAGTAAGAGAACCTGCTGGCACAAGTGGAGAGAAACACTAAAATCACCCATGAAATATTGGTAAGTATCAAGTGTCTAAATAACGTTGTATCAACGGGGTACTGATCCATAAAATAACAACACAATGAAATACTATATAGCATCTAAAAACAATGAGGTATATCTATAGGCTCCATACTGCAAGATATCCAAGACATGGTTTCTTTTCTAAAGCTAGTCCTCTTTCTGTAATGTTAAAAAAAAAAATTTACTCATTACATTTTGTAAGTAGGAAAAAAAGACCATAGACAATTAAAAACTATAGCATTTACAGGATAATGGGGTACATCAGTAGACCTGAGAGCATGATGCTCCACCAGTAGCGGGCTTCACCTAGAATTTGTTAGAAAGGCAAATCTTTGGCCCCAGCTCAGACCCACGAAATCAGAAGCCCTGGCGATGGGTGGAGCCCAGCAGGTGATGCTGGCATACGCTCAGACTTGAGAACTACGGAATTAGATTTTTACGTAGACTGTAGAAGCTGATGGAAACCCCTTGGTAGGAGTACTTTACTGTAAGAATAAAGCGAACTCATGGGGAAATGAAATCAAAGTGCCTTTCAAAGTTTGCCAAGGCATCCTGTCGTTATCACAAAGGTAGCCTACATGGTCATTGTCTTGACTAGACTACCATAAGACTTCGGACATCTAGCTTTCCATATCCTGCGAGGCGCCTCTACTCATGACAAGTGTGTGCACCAACAGGATGGATAAACTACCTCCAGGAGTACTTGCCACCTTCGTCCCCCCCGCCTCCCGGGCCAAACCCACGCTGGACCGGAGAAGCCCTCCTCTCCCCAACTTCCAGACCCCAGAAAAGCTCAAGGAGCGCCCAGAGACTTTGGGCGGGGATGCCCAGAGGGAGAAGAGCTGTTCCTGAACCCCGGCCAACCACAGGGAGCGCGACTCACTGCAGGAGGCGAGAGTAGAACTCCTCAGCCGCTCGGTTCATGCGCTGCCACATCCCGCCCCAGCCACAGTCCGGTCCGGAACCGCCAAACTGAATTACGCGCCCGGGCGCTGACGTCAGAGGCTATGCCGGAACTACTTTTACACCAAGTTCCGAAGTGTCCGCGATGTTAAACTTTTGCTTTAGATCACCAAATGCTATTTCCAATTCCAATACTCCCCCATTCCTATCAGAAAAAAATTAAAATAAACATAGTAGTTGCGAAAAAGGGATAACGGCTGGAGAGTTGGCCCCGCCCACTTACGGATCACTCCGCGAAAAAGGAGTCCCTCCATTCTAAGCATTAGTATTAGTTTTAGAAAAAATAGGTACCGTTCTTTGACACACATAAAGAAATAGCACGTTACTTAAATTTTTGAAGCGTGGTAGAAAGGTATTTTGTAGCTCCATGTTGGTTCTGAGGCGGGGCAGGGTGGGAAGGACGAGATGCAGGATACATATACAGTGTGAGTGATAAGCACTTCCTTTTCCTGTGGGAGCAGCCGGGTCGAGAGGAGCGTGGCCTTCTCCTCTCCCCGCCATGGTAAGTGGAGGTCGTCTTCTCTGGACTTCTCCCGTGTTCCCAGGCCCAGTAAGGAAGGATGGAGGATTCAGGAAGTAAGAGCTTCAGAAGAGAAAGGGAGCAGACGAAAATCAGCAGCATCTGTTTCTGCGGGGAGCTGGGTTGTGCGCGATGCGGCAGCCATCTTAAAGGCAACGTGTGCGTGCCGGCACGGGCGGGCCTGCGAGCTACCCAGGAGGGTGCTGGGCTGTCTCAGAGGACTTCTAGGGTTCTAGCGTTCCTTGGGTTTTAGGAAACTTGGGTTCTGCTGGAAACCGAACCCTTCGCGGACTAAAGCCGAACTGGGGGTGGGAGAATATTTGAGGCCTTGCACTTTTAGGTGCTGTCTAGTGATGTGTATTTCCATATTTTAAGAGACTTTGTAAAAGGGGAAAACGAAATATGTTTATTAAAACTTTTCTGAATGCTTGTCTCCAGTTTTGGAATAGTTCCTTTAAAAGCACTTTCTGGTTCTTTCATTTTAAAAAGTAGTTCTGTTGCTTGTCACTTAAATGTTTGAGTCCCCAGTCAGCTCACACAGGTATGACTTTCTACTGTTCTGTACCTGGGGAGTTAGTGAACAAGACATAGGACGCGATCGCGGTTCAGTTTCACTGAACGCATAGTATTATATAGCATGGGCAGTGGAAATGGGCATTGTAGAGGCGGCCATGTTTCGACACGAAACGGTCATTTAACAGAATGGCCTGAAAGGTGGGGGACCATAGTAAGGGCTTCAGGGGAAAACTCACCAACTCAGGCAGTAAGAGATGGTCCTGAGTATAGTGACAAAGTGTCTGGGAGATGATATCGGAGAGGTATTGGTAGGGCACATTGTTTGGACCTTCTTTGGGACTTGGGCTTCATTCAGGTGAGAAGTCTTAGGAGAGTTGAAGAGAAGCCCTGATAAGTCGTCAGCATGTTTTAGAAGAGAGAGAGAGGAATGAGAGTTGAGATGGGTGAGCTCCAGACAACAAGATTTGCTGACAATTGGAATGCAAGTTAAGATGGTGACATCAAGCAAGCATTTTCCTGCACACTCTTGAGCATTGTGTTGGACATGTTTGCTTTGAAATGTTTGTGATAAGCCATTGTTTTTGAGACTTACGGCAGTTTTGAGTTGTAATTGCCCCAGCTGTAAGAATTTGTTGGAAGTATTAAGTAGTCAGGTGCTCTACCACTGAGCTACATCCCCAGCCTTGATTAATTAATAGAGCTGCTGATGTAATTTGTAGTTTAGTTTCTGAATTTTAAGTGTTGTCTTGCCTCACAAAATTAGCTAAGCAATGGCATTATTGGCACCTGAGAAGAGTTTATCTCTGATTATTGTTTGTCAATATGTCTTTCTCCTCCCACCCCCAGGCGTGTGCTCGTCCCCTGATATCAGTGTACTCCGAAAAGGGGGAGTCATCCGGCAAAAATGTCACTTTACCTGCTGTGTTCAAGGCTCCTATTCGACCAGATATTGTGAACTTTGTTCATACCAACCTGCGTAAGAACAACAGGCAGCCCTATGCTGTCAGTGAATTAGCAGGTATGGATTTACATTTTCTATGGGTTGGTGTTTTAAAGGGCTGCTTCACAGTAGTGATGAAATTCCATTTCATTGGTCCGTGTTTCTGAACAGCATGATTTTCTTGGATATTCTGATACTGGTTGCTACCATGTATAGTAAGTAACAAATGGGTACGATTATGTAGCTGAAACTTCTTATTTCTTCCCGATTTTAGGTCATCAGACCAGTGCTGAGTCTTGGGGTACTGGCAGAGCTGTGGCTCGAATTCCCAGAGTTCGGGGTGGTGGGACCCACCGATCTGGCCAGGGTGCCTTTGGAAATGTATCCTTTGCTTCACTACCTAGGCTGGTCAGTTTTCCTTGGGATTTATCAGGCTGGGCTCGATTTCTTCATGGGAATATATTTTGAAACGTGTATGTCTAAAAATACTCCCACTTAAGCATTACTCTAGACAAATGTTTTTTGTTAGAGCTTCATGTGGGGGAATTTTTGCTTGCAATGATGTCGTAATTTGCGTCTTACTCTGTTCTCAGCGACAGTTGCCTGCTGTCAGTAAGCTGGTTCAGAAGGTTGACGAAAATACTTACTGAGCAAGGCACAAATATGTTAATTCCCCAGATTTGAAGGAGGTTTGTGTTTTGCTTTGTTTTTGATGGCCCTGGGATTTGAGAGAGATGTGATCCTTAACTAAGGCAATAGATGTGTCGGGGAGGGCGCATGTTTGCGCCAACCAAAACCTGGCGTCGTTGGCACCGTAGAGTGAACACAACCCAAAAGCGATACGCCATCTGCTCTGCCCTGGCTGCTTCGGCCTTACCAGCACTGGTCATGTCTAAAGGTTTGTGAAACTTTCTAGTGGAAAAATGGTGCAAAAAACTCCTTTGCACTGAATCTGCTTATGTAAATTCTGTTCATCTCAGCATCTTGACTAAATACGTCTCTTTACTAAATAAATGCAAGGTCTGATTTCATAACAAGGCAACTATAGGTAGTAGCTGTGTAACTGGACAACTGATTATTCAAATAGTGATTGGGTCTATAATGGGAAAAGTAACTTCCATCACGTGACCTGGCACATTTTTAACGGTCAAGATGATGACATTCCACATAATCGGTCCGTGTTTCTGAAAAACATGATATTTGTGGAGATTCTGATTTGCCAGATGCTGTTTTGCATTGGTGGGATGTATAAAATGTTTGATCGTTGAAAGGATTGGGGTAGCCGGATAATTACTGATTCGGCTCTGTCAGGTCATCGTATTGAGGAAGTTCCTGAACTTCCTTTGGTGGTTGAAGATAAAGTTGAGGGTTACAAGAAGACCAAGGAGGCTGTTCTGCTGCTTAAGAAACTCAAAGCCTGGAATGACATCAAAAAGGTAGGTTTATGTGCACGTGTGCAGTATGGGAGTCACTGATGCGTACGAGAAAAGGCCGCTCTCATGACCCATTGTGAATTGGTTGCGTGATCCTTCCCTGTATAACAAGAACCACACATGACGAATACAGATGAGACGGTTGTCCTGAGAACAGTAGGTACAATGTAAATAGTCGTTAGCATGAACAACAGAGAATAATGGCAAGAGTCACTTTGAATGTCTGCTGACTGCGTTCACTTAAATTCAAGAAATGTAAAAACACATTTGGTTTAGTGTGAAAGACTTAATTTAATAAGAGTCCATCGTACAGGCCAAGTCCTTAGTGATGTTTATGGCTGTGTGTATAGGTATAGTCTTAGGCAAGTTTGTTTTTAACTGTGAATATCTGCTGACAAGACTATACATTGATGAGATGATACTGAAACCATTGGCTTTGTAGGTGTATGCCTCTCAGCGAATGAGAGCTGGCAAAGGAAAGATGAGAAACCGCCGTCGTCTCCAGCGCAGGGGGCCCTGCGTCATCTATAATGAGGACAATGGCATCATCAAGGCCTTCAGAAACATCCCTGGTAATTCTTGCACTGTGTGTGTGTCTTGACTGCCCTTGCTGTGCAAGCTCGCTTAGCTTTGCTCATGATGACATTCCACTCTATGGTCCGTGTTTCTGAAATGCATGATCTTTGTGGAAGTTCTGATTCCTGGCTGGCTGAATTACACCATCGAATTGAACATTGAAGCTTCACAGTAAGACAGTTCTCAGGTGCCTTATGTAGCACAATAAGCCATGAAAATGACTTGTTCTGTTGAAGTACAGGCTTTCTAATTTTCCTTTCCCTTTAAAAGGAATTACTCTGCTTAATGTAAGCAAACTGAACATTTTGAAGCTTGCTCCTGGTGGGCACGTGGGACGTTTCTGCATTTGGACTGAAGGTGCTTTCCGGAAATTAGATGACTTGTATGGCACTTGGCGTAAAGCTGCTTCCCTCAAGAGTAATTATAAGTGAGTGTTGTTCGTATTTGTTTACTTGGTGTGGATGCTTACACTGTACTTAAGAGTAACGGACTATGTTTCCTTTACATTCTCTGTATACTAGAATGGTAAATGCACTCACTACTTAATTTGGTCCATTTAAAAGAAATGATAGTGTAGTGGAAGCTGAGTTTTGGACAGTAAGCTGGTTTAGTCTCTTGGGGCTCATGGGGTTTTTTTGTTTTCTTTCATTCAGCCTTCCCATGCACAAGATGATGAATACAGACCTCAGCAGAATCTTGAAAAGCCCAGAGATCCAAAGAGCCCTTAGAGCACCACGGTAAAGTTTTGATACTTACAAATACAATTCTTGTCACACCCTTAAACTTACTGTGATGCTGAAACTGTGACTAATACAAATGTTCATGATGGTGCCTAACTCTTTATAGCAAAAAGATCCATCGCAGAGTCCTGAAGAAGAACCCACTGAAAAACCTGAGAATCATGTTGAAATTGAACCCATATGCAAAGACCATGCGCCGGAACACCATTCTTCGCCAGGCCAGAAATGTTGGTGATAAATTGTTTTTCATGATATGTCAGGTTTTATCTTGAAAGACTTTATTCTTACACTTTGTGCTTTATTTGTTACAGCACAAAATCCGGGTGAATAAAGCAGCAGCTGCATTGGCAGCCAAATCAGATGAGAAGGGGGCTGCAGAAAAGGGGGCTGAAGGCAAGAAGCCTGTGGTGATTAAGAAAGGAAAGAAGGCTGTTGATGTTAAGAAGCAGAAGAAGCCTTTGGGGAAAAAGGCTGCTGCTACCAAGAAACCAACAGCTGAAAAGAAACCTGCAGAAAAGAAGCCGGCCACAGAAGAAAAGAAGTCTGCTCCATAACTACTAAAATCTGTTTTATTCCATAAGGTCAAGTAATATAGGACAGCTTATATGAATAAAGACCTGATCAAAGATGCAGGGAGAAATGTGGCTTGTTTGGTGTGTTGTGTGCTCTCTTAAATAACTACTGTTTTTCCCTAATTCTCATCTTTTAATTTGCCCATGGTATAGGTCTGGTATAAAATGCACTAGATTTATATTTAATTTATACAATTGAATGAAAGATTCTCCCAAAACCTGATAGAAACAGTTTTGTAAATAACTATCTTAAGTAACAATGGCTAAAAGACATACCATAAGTATTGGTGCTTTTCAATTCAAATGCCCAAAGGGATAATTTTTCAAGTGGCCACAGAAGGGCACCAATGAGCTTGCCGGGTTGCTACACTGAAGTGAGGTGTTTAACTTGACCATTTTCGAGGAAATGCTTGTAAATTCTTATTTTGACTCATTGAAAATGTTCTGTGTGTACTAACCAAGCATAATACAGAGATGTTCATGAAGTATTCCCTAAACTAGTATTCTGGGTTTTGTTTTTTGCGGTACTAGGGTTTGAGACTCCACCAACCATTTTTTGCGGTGGCTTTTTTTTTTTTTTTTTTTTTTTTTTTTTTGAGGTAGGGTCTCACCGAACTAGTTTTCCTGGTTTGAACTGCAGTCTTCCTGAGCGGCTAGGATTACAGAGGTGAGTCACCAGTCAGATGGTTTTGTATTTTGGCAGAGCTGGGCAATTGCCTCACGACAGGCCGCCTCCTTGCATCACTCCCCCAGCTCTCTTTACTAACCCCCTCACCGAGTCATAAATTCTGTCTGCAAATCTTGCCTCTTTAGAAGTTTCCCTTGATTTTTGTCCCGTTAGGGTCTGGAGTCACAACTCTTTCCTAGGGCCATGGTTTGGCTGGTTTCGGTCACGGTCGTAACGTGCACTGCGGGCTCTGGTGTGGAACGGCTCCTGGAGGCGCGGTGCAGGGCGTATCGCACACCTGCATCATTTGGAAGCATTTGCGAGGGAGCCGGCTATGGGGCTAAGGAACCTGGCTAAGCCCAAGACTTGATTCAGTGCCGGGCCTCCAGGTGCTTTGCGGCTCCTAAGCTCTATGCTTTAGGAATCCTGGCCATTAGGCGCCAAGATGTCACTTGGAAATTCGTACCCTTCGCTGGGCTGCTGGGCTGCTGCGCCGCGCAGCACGACGCGACAGCCCGCGCCGGAAGGAAACGCTGCAAGCCTTTTCCAACATGGCCGCGACTTCCGGAGATCTGCGGTGACGTCATCACTGAGCGTCGCACCGACTGCGCGCAGAAGGCGGTGAACTAACGAGGGACCATGTTGAGCCGGCTTCAGGAGCTGCGTAAGGAGGAGGAGACGCTGCTTCGGTTGAAGGCGGCCCTCCACGACCAGCTGAACCGCCTTAAGGTGACCCCACCACCCCTCCATTCCGCCTGCTCTGCGGCGGCCACCTGCTGCCTCCGCTTCCTCCGGCCTTCATTTGGCCCGGTGGCCCGGATCCTAGCGGTTTACAAACTTGTGTAGCTGAAGCACATGGCACCTTGCTTTGCGTTGTCATTTGCAGCACACCTTCGGCCCTGATGGCCTGTAAAGTGTTCGGCAAGTATAGTTCCCCATCCCGACCCCGCATCCGAGCCTAGGTCGCCTTCTCCCGACCTCATCTAGATCGCCTCCTGAAGCGCCTCGTGGTCTGTCCTTTACTAATGTGCTTGGCGCTTGAAAGGGCTCAAGGATTACAGGGCTGCAGGGGACTCCAGATCCTCCCGTGGTGCGGAGGAAGACATCGAGGACTGGGACCCAGACGTCCCAAAGCCTACAATTCCCAGTAACTCTTCTCCGAGCTCTTACCGGCTGGTATCCGAGTCACATTCCTAGACCTTATGAGATGATCATGATTATCCCTGCTCAGAGTCCTAATGCAGGATCTTTCGAGTCCAAATGATGGGAGGATTACAAATGCCCCTTACAAAGTAAAAGCCGCTTCCCAGCTGTAGCATATCAAAGTAATAAGCAGTTTTCCTCGGGTCAGTTTTAACGCCCCACACTTAACTTGTGTCTCCCTATTGCAACAGTACCCCTACAAGTACCAGATGGTTGTATGCTGATGACGACCTCCAAACCCAGGTTCCCGGGTGCTTTGGGAAGAGCCTCCATTTTCTGCGCTTCCCGCCTTCACTTTCTCCTAGAGAATCCCTCTGTCTGTGGAGCCAGTGGTGACACCTGGCTTTTCAATAGCACACTTGAGTTTCCTTCACAAAGCTGCTGTGTCTGGGGGAGGGAAGCCTGTGGCTTAGCTGAAATACCTGTACAGCCCAAGGGAAGGGGCTGCTCGGAGCCTGCTCCTCTCTTAAAAGGGAGGGGAAGCTAAGAGCTGACCTCTTCCCTGTGGAGCAGCACAGAGTATAGTCTGCACTCTCTTACGATGTCGGCAGGAATTTACCTACATCAGTAACGCAGAAATTCAGGAGTGTGTTCTCAACTCTTCTGTTCTAGGTTGAAGAATTGGCCCTCCAGTCAATGATCAATTGTAGAAGAGGAGAGGAGATGCCGACTTCTCAGCCTGTACCGGAACGGTCACAAGAAGTAAGCTTAATCAGTACCCACCTTAGGATGCAATGAATGTACAGTCCACTCTGCTTCCTTGCTGTTTGGGCGGTCATTCATTGGGAAGTGTTGATCAGAATGCTTTTTTTTTTTTTAATTTGTTTGTTTCTGGTGCTGGGTATTGGACCCAGGGCCTTCAAGTGCTGTATCAGTGAGCTACATCTACAGCCCTCCCCACCTCCATCAGGATTTTCTACTTTTGTCTACATGAAGTCTTTTAGAGGAGGACTCACATTTCTTTCAGCTGGTTACACTTTGACTACTGTAGGAATCCTCCACCACCTAGTCATCTGTTCTCTCTAGTTACTCAGATGAACCCTGGGACCCTGTGGAGACTTTTGTAAGAATACTTCACATTCTTTGATGGGAGGGGTACTGGAATTTGAACTCAGAGGTTTGAGTTTACAAAGCAGGTGCTCTACTGCTTGAACCACACTTCTAGTTCATTTTACTCAGGTTATTTTGGTAATGGGGGCCTTTCAGGGCTGGCCTCAAAAGAACTTTGAATCTCCAGAGCTCAGCCTCCCAAGTAGCTACGATTACAAGCATGAGCCATCTGCACCCTGCTCTGTTTTTTTTGTTGTTGTTGTTTGTTTTCCTTAAACTGTTTTTAGCAGATGGTCAGGAAGAGAGTAGGTACTTAGAACTGTGCCACTAATGAAAGGAAATCCTATATAAGTGCATTCGTTTTGGGTTTTTTGGGTAGTAGTGGGGTTTGAACTTAGGGCTTCATGCTTGTAGGTTCTCTGCTGCTTGAGCTACACCACCAGCCCTCTAACTGCATTTCTTTACAGAGTTTGTGTCATACCATCCTCTGCTGGAAAAGTAGGTCAAGTCTCAGATAATGTCTTTTAAATTGTGTTCTCTACCATTATTAAGGATAGTACTATATCATACCTCTGTGAGTGTATCTGCATACATGGTAGCAACCCTGCTTTATCAGAGCTTTGGGTTTTTCTGTACTGGGGTTTAAACTCAGGGTCTCAGTCTTGCTAACCATGAGCTCTACTACTTGAGCCACACCCAGCCCTTTTGGTTTTTTCCCACTGGGCCCACCTGAACCTTGCTCTTCCTACCTATAGCTTCCTCACTTCATGTTGTGTGCCACCATGCCCAGCAAACTGAGATGGGGGTGTTGCTAACTTTTTGCCCATGCTGACCTTGAACCACAGTCCTCCCATGTCTGCCTCCCAAGTAGTTAGGAAGCCGCTGCACCCAGCCAGAGCTGTTTGGTTTGGGTTTTTGGGTTTTTTTTTTTTTTTGCAGCAACTGGGGTTTGAACTAGAGCTTCACTCTTGCTAGGTAGGTACTCTACCACTTGAGCTACTCTGCTAGCTCTTCTTTTTTTGTGATGGGTATTTTTCAAGATAGGGTCTTAAGAACAATTTGCCTGGGCTCACTTCAACCCAAGATCCTCCTGATCTCTCTCTGCCTCCTAAGTTAGCTAGGATTATAGGTGTGAGCCACTGGTGCCCAGCCCAGAGCTGTTACTCTAGAACGTTTTCTTACCATTTATGAAGTTAATAAAATAAAAATGGTGCCATGTACTACAATAGTAACAGAACTTTGATGTTTTCTGGGGTTGTTTTTTCCTTTTTTTTAAAATGAAGTGTGCTGTCTATATAATTTTGTTCAGGTGACTGCAGAACCTGGAAAAGATATTGTTGCTATTAATGTATAACATCCTGTGATTGGTCTCTTTATATAAATAATATATATATAATATAAAGTAAATAAGCAAATATATATATAAATATATACATATAAAACTTTAGCTGTACTGTCAACTTTGGAAAAAAGTATCCCAGTTTACCATGTTGAGTTGGCATTGAACACAAATTAATACCCATATTGGTCTAGAAACATTAAACTTACCTTCTGGTTCCATTTGTACAGGTATAACACTGTTTTAAGTATGCAAAGTAGTATCTATGTGGGTTTGATTACAGAAACTAATACTCTAAATAATGAAAGAGAATAGTGTGGCTTCAACTACAAAGCACAGTGCTAAAGAGTTCCAGTCCTCGTTCTAGCCCTCTATTGCCATATGCCTTCCAAAAAAGTCATTTTCTTTCTAAGTATACCATATTTGAGTAATTCTGGATATTGTGTGCTAAGCCATTGTCTTTTTATTTATTTTTTTTGTGGTACTGGGCTTTGAACTCAGGGCCTTTCAAGGCAGCCTCTCTACCACTTGGGTCACACCCCCAGCCATCTTCACAATTATGTTGGAGCTTTCTAGAACCATACTTGTAAATTAGAAATATTCTGGTGCATCTTGGACAGTCTTCTCCCATGTTGGTAGTGGGAAGGTAGAATTTGGAGAAACAGGAAATAGGAAAGTGACCACACCTCTCAGTTGTAAGTACTGGAAATGAATATGCAGTTGAGATTTGACTTTAAAACATTTTAAAGAACTTGCCAGGGCAGAGGGTTGTTTTGTTTTGTTTTTGTGGTACTAAGGAGTGAACTCAGGACTTCTAGCTTGCTAGGCAAATTCTGTAGCACTTGAGCCCAAATTTGCCAGAATTTTGAGGCCAGTATCTTTCCTACTAAACTCTAATGACCTTTGCTCCCCAGATGTTGGTACATGTAGACAATGAAGCATCAATCAACCAAACTGCACTGGAGTTGAGCACAAGGAGCCATGTGATAGAAGAGGAGGAGGAAGAGGAGGAAGAATCAGACTCCTAAAGGGGAACAGGAGCCAGGGTTAGTTATGAATCCAATTTGCAAGTTTCACATACTTTGTTTCTTCAAAGAAGTCATCGCACCATGGGCCTTATGGCCTACTCGAAAGAGAAACAGAAACTCTAGAGGTATGTGGAGTTGTACAAGTGGTTCCATCAATAACTCAAGCTTCATAATATTTTAACAAAAATTAGTGAAATAGAAATTCAGAGATACAGTGTCTTTAACACTGAGCAGTCTATAGTACAGTCAGATTCAGGAATTGTATTCAAGACAGAACTTCCTCTGAAATACTATTGAAAAAGTCTGGCATTTGCAAAAAGGACAGTTTAAATACAAGCCAGCCTTTCTCAGCTCTCAAGAAAACAATTTGTGAGGTGATTTTAGTTCATTTTTCGAGCTATTCTGCAAGCCTGGCTACTGCCATTTGTAAATACATAAAAGATAAAAACAAGTGGCTGGGCGCCTGTGGCTCGCGCCTGTTATCCTAGCTACTAGGGAGGCTGAGATCAGGAAGATCAGGTTTGAGGCCAAATTGTTGGTGAGACCCCTATCTCCAAAATAACCAGAGCAAATGGACTAGAGGTGTGGCTCAATCAGTAGAGTATCTGTTTTGTGAGGACAAAGCCCTCAGTTTAACCCCCCACCCCACCCCAAAAAAAGATAAAAACAAGCAATGCTCAGGAAAACTAGATAATCATTTACTATGTGATAAAAATCCTAGTAAAAAATTCAGCTCATAATGGCTGGACATTTTATAGCCTACTAAAATTTTTAAAACATTTACATAGATAAAATGTAAAGCATACTATAAAGGTCATTCTTTTCAGGACTAAATGCCTAGAAGACATCAAGTAGTACAAAAAGACAAGGTTACCAGTTTGAAAGATCATTTTAAATGTGAGATAAAACAATGAGTTCTTGTGAAAAAGAAACCAATGAATGGCTCTGTGCATGCCACTGAAACCTTGTGAAGAGTTAGGCTACAGTTTCAGGGGGAGAAATGACAAGGGGAAGGACAGGACCACTTGACAGCATAAGTTGCTGTCACCTCTCAGAGGCATGGAGACACCACTGCAGACTGCCTTGCATGGCTGTTAGTACATCTGTATGTGCTTAGAAATAAATTATACTCACCGCTAACCATTGTAAACGAGGAGCTTGCTGGTTTCCAGATACCAAAAGAGAAAGCAGCAGCTCCTCCTCTGAGGAGAACCTAACAGGATGGCTGCAAACCCATTTCTGGCCCTTAGAGAGGAATCATGATGAGGTTCTTAAAGAGAGGACAGCTACAGAATGAGTGGCTTGTGTTTGAAGTAAAGATTGTGTTGAAGTAAAGATTCATTTCTGCATATTGTCCCCTATTGAAGAAAAAAAAAAAAAAGAGTCACTTAATTCTGAAAGATGTATTTCCCCTGACCAAGGCAAACAAAGAACCTCCTGGAGCAGAACTTACCTAGCAGCTCCAGAAGAAAACATTGGGTACATTTTACTGTTAATCATTTCCTTTAAGTTCTCATGACCCCCTCTTAGAGGAAATAGCAAGAACTTTAAGTGGGAAGACAGTGGGGGACAAAAAACATCAATGTATATTATCTGGGGTGGGTCTGACTTAAAATATGAGCGTGGGTTTTTAGGAACAGGAAGCTGGCTGTGAGTTCTAGTTTTACCACTGCCTGGTGGCTCCCCTAGTCTCTCCAACTCTCACTTTCTTACCTGGAAAGGGAGGATCTGCACATTTGGACTAGCTACTATTATTGCCTTCTTGGTAAAAGGAAGTTTGAGGAAGGCAGTAAGCATGGGGAACTCAATACTTGGAAGACTGGTGCTAGGAACATTTTTGAAAAAAGAGACATTATTGGTAAAAATAAATAAATAAAAATCCTTTTGTCTTTTAAAATGCAGTATTGTTGGATGTAAATAGAGAATTTAAACATTCCCACTCCTCCCAAACACATACTCCAAAATAAAAGACACTGCTCAGGAAAGCATTCGGAGTCAGGTTTTAGATACCAGGTGATCCTTGTTCGTTTTGATGAAATATTCTCAGTAGAGCGCATCCTACCCTATTGTTAGCAAGATATAGGGTGTGGGTTTTAAAACACAGTCTGGATGTTTACATGCTGAAAACGTGTTAAGTTTCACCCTTGACTTAGAAAAGCAACTGGCAGAGTGGCTCAAGTGGTAGAGCGCCTGCCTAGCAAGCATGAGATCCTGAGTTCAAACCCCAGTACTGCCAAAAACTGTTGGCTTTATAGCAAGAACAAATGATTAACAGATAATTACAACACTTTTCTTAAGCCCAAGCTCTAGTGACTCCAAAGTGGAAGAACTACATACTCAGGATATTAATTACCCAAATTCCATTTTTAATCTAAAAATGAAATAGGCCTTTTATTTTTAAAAATATACATTAGTTTATGTCTTCTATAATCTCCACTTTTTTTTTTTTTTTTTTTTTGGTGGGACCGGGGTTTGAACTCAGGGCTTTGCACTTGCAAAGCAGGCACTCTTCCACTTGAGCCACAACTCTGGTCCATTTTGCTCTGGTTATTTTGAAGATGGCATATTGTAAACTGTTGGCCCAGGTTGGCCTTGAACAGCAGTCCTCCTGATTTCAACCTCCCAAGTACCTAGGATTACAGGAGTAAGCCATTGGTGCCTGGCAATATCTACTTTCAAAGGAAGAAAATGAGGGAATGACTGACAAGGCAGTGTCACATGTACTTGCAGTTCCACAGGTCACACTCAAAAGAAGGAAAGGGCACCAGTACCACTGGGGACATGGCTTTGTTTTCTGGTTTCATTGCCACCTCATGCATGGCATGACAAAGCCAGAACCCTGCATGTGTGCTTTTCTTCCTAGGAAGGCAGATAAGTGGTGGAAAAAGGAAACCATTGCTTATGGTATCAAGGAAGAAGGACTCTGCTCTGAGGCTCCAGCACCAGCAGGGTGCCCTGGGAGCCTGGTGCTGCAGCTACAGGCAAACCCAGTGCACAGCTCTTATTATGAAAATGAGGTATGTCCAACAGAAGTGGTTTGTGATTTTTCACACTTCTTCCCAACCTCCACTGCTGCTTTTCCCTCATGAAGAGATAAGAAAAATAGACTGTTCACAGATCCAAGGAAGGTGGTTGGAAGTCACAGATAAGGTACAGCGTGAAAAGAATTAGTGCTGAGACAGAAACTACAGGAAGCCCCATTAGTCCACAGCACTGAGCTTGTTCTCAGTGTGGTATTTTTCAGTAAGCCACTTCATTTCTGGTATACTAAAGACACTGAAGAGCCTACAACAAAAGTAGAAATAGCTTTCATCTTTTTTAACTTTATAGTGTGTTTATTAGAATAAGAGATTAGATTTGTTAAACATCTGGATTAAAATGGTTAAAAGGACTTTCATACAATTTTTAGGCACTATACACGTTGTTTACAATAGCATTGATACTTGGATTGGGTGGGAGATAGAAATATGACACATTTTAATGCCTTGATCCATTTGTGACATTCAAAATAACCATCATTTTAGAAACACTAATCCAAACTTAAAGAGAAGAGACACACACCACTAAGTACCTCACACAGTCTATTTAAAAATAAATATAGAAATACAACCAGAAGTCTACAAATCATCACAGTAGACAGACTGGTGAAGCCCCAGCTATCATGGCAGTGAAGGGCTCTAGCTAGATTTTGAAGGAAAGTGAATTCTTTTCAAAAGCAAAAGTTAATACAATAACATGATGTGCACTTTCTGATGCTCATTTATTTCATAGCAGCAAAGCATGCTTCACATGCACTGCCTGTGAAGGGTCTTAGAAGGCTACCCCCCCACTCAAACAGAGAAGGTGCCCCTGGCAAGAATGAAGTACCACCAAATACCCAAGAATCCTGAAAATATAGGCGACAGCCAGTCACAGAGCAGGAACAGCAGTGCAAACATCAGTAAGAATAACTACCCACATTGCCAGAGTGTCAGTGTGGCTCAGCCAGGCTTGTGTTTTGATCACCGTACACACAGATAGCCCCAAGCGCAAAGCCAATCCACTTAGGGGAATAACAATAGTAATAAAGACAGTAATAGTAAAAATGACACAAGTATAATTTTGGCACATGCTGTGTTCTTCATCCTTTGTCATAGGTGAAATACACATCTGAACAGAGACAAGCATGGGGAGAGGCCTGAAAGCAATATGACATGCCACTGGGCAAGGACTTGCTCTTCTCTGCTTCTCAAAGACTCACATGCCGGCTGCATGGGTTGGTGTGCTGGGCTGGTTGAGGCCAATGGTGGAGCAGAGCCAACCTGCAAAATCTACTTCCTCAGCATCAGATCTCTTGATAAAAGCATGAACCTGTGTGCAAGGAAACGGAGCAGAAATGGCATTAAAAAACCTCTAAAAAGAAAATTCAAGAATCTCAGTCTAGAGCCTGTACTACACCTGCAAAGAGTTCTTTGCACCCACCCCTGAGCAGCTATAGACTCAGAGGCCTGCTCCACATGGCCCTGCCAGTTCCCCCAGCTGTGAGACCTTGGCAAGTAGCCCCCCCCCCCATGAACTGCTATGGGAGAATGAAGTAGGGATAGTAACTGCCTTTAGGACCTCACACCTTGTTAGAAGGGACAAAGGAAATGATGGATGTAAGTGCAGATACTGCAGTATTTACATTCTACATCCTTGCCACCAAACAAGGTAGGTGAGGCTCAGGATGAGTGCTAAATTGAAGATGAGCCTGGGGCCCTTTCTTTCCCTTGATTCCCTCAGGCCTTCCTTTGGCATCCTAGCTTTTCCTTGAGACTCAGGGAAGATGGAAGAGACTGATGTTGGACATTCTGCAACCTCAGGCTCAGCTGGACCAACAGTGGTCAGGGCAGAATAGGGACTGGAATCAGAAGTACTGGACAGACGAACAAATGAATAAACAGATGTTGTAAAAATCAGAAATAAGTGGACTCACCATGAGTTGCTTCAAATCTGCTCTCTCTGCAGGGTTTTTTATTAAACTAAAAAGAAAAATAATGTGAGAACTACTGCCTAGCACTGGTTCCAATTCAAAGCTGTAGGCTTTGAGGAGTGCCCGAGCTTTTATTCATCTTCCTTCCTGGTACTGTATCACACCCACAGTAAGCTAGTGACTCCTTCTGAATTAAACTAAGGTTGAGAGTGGGTAATGCTCAAGCAGTAGAGCGCCTGCCTTGTGAGGATAAAGCCCTGAGTTCAAACCCTAGTCCCACCAAAAAAAAAAAAAGACAAAAAAACAATGTCAAAAAGCAATGTGCTAATCTCTGTAGATAAAAGTACTGAAAGTAGCCACTATGATCAGATGGGTGGCACAAGTCCTGGTACCCTAACAAGGACTGTGGCAGTAGCCGGGGAAAGGGCATAACGGGAAAAGGCAAAGCTGGTGGCCTCAGAAATGGGATGGGGAATGTAATGAATCCAGAGAACAAGGAGCAAGCTTACCATTTATTCACAAAATCTTGAAATTCCAGACTGAATACTCCACTGGGCAGTTTTGGAGGAGGCTGCAAATACATGTCAGACATGAAAAATGCCTGGCTCCCTTCTCCAGGCATCTCTCCCCATCATACCCCTATCTCATCCAAAGAAAGTACTGGGAGGTCAGCTGCCTACTAGCTCACACTGTTAGGATCATAGAACAAGTGGAATCATGGCAAGTGTTCTACCACTCACTTGTCTAATGATTTTTTAATAAATCATTATTCCTCTGTGAGCCTGTTTACTCGTCTATGAAATGAGGATGTTGTGCTGTTATCTCTGGGACTTTCTGAATTCTGACACTACAATTTTAAGAATGTGGAAATGTCACCAGCAATTACAGCAACAGCTAGGGGGTATGCAAGCAAACAAGCATAGCTCAAGCCTGACAGTGCCTACAGAAGCAAGTGAGAAAAGAAGACCCTTCTCCGAGTCCTGGAGAGAAAGAAAGATTAATAAAACAATAACTGGCAGAGGGCGAGGGCCAGGTCTAAGAGAACACTATGAGTCTGCTTTCAGGCCTCAGAAAAATATAACGGCTCATTTCCCAAAGCAGGACTACACAATACAGGCCTCTGGAGCACCAGGTTCATAGTGATGCTGCACATGGTGCCAGAAAATGTGAGCTGTGTGTAGCTTCCTTGGGAGAAGCAACCTCTGGATACAATGCTTAGGGTGTCAGGCTCTCGTATAGCCCCCAAAAACAAGTGATTCAAGATTAGAGATGAACCACAAGATGGGCACAATGGCACACGCCTGCAGTCCCAACACAAAGGAAGCTAAGCCAGGGCATCACTTGAACCCAGGAATTTGAGAGCAGCCTGGGCAGCACAGTGAGATCCCATCTTAAAACAAGGGCCTGAGTTCAAACCCCAGAATCACCACAACAAAAAACATCCAAACACTGACACTCCCTACCAAAAACCTAGCCTAGCTCTCCTGCCCTGGAGGTCTTCAATCTGACTTGAAATCAGCTACCTCTTAGAACAGTGACCCAGAACAAGCTTCACCCTGCAGACTTCCTGCTGCTGAGGGGGTAAATGGAGTGTTCAAGAGAAAGAAAAGCCCAGCAGCTTGGCCTGCAGAGGCCAGAGTCCTTTCCTACTGAGGAGGAGGGAGCCAGGTAAGGGCAGACTGAATTTTCATAGTATACGTACTATCTTTAATGGCTTCTTTCAATTTATAATGTTCTGTTTCTACGCTCATTTTTATGTTCATTGCTTTTTAACAGCACTTACAAGCAAAACTCTGTTGTATATGCATTTGCCCCACTTCCCCTAACAACCTAACAGCCTTTCCATCTTTAGTCCCTGCCCAACTATCCCCAGACCCCTCGTGCTCAGCACACAGTAGGTGCGTTAGAGCACTTGATGAGCAAAGGCACATGTATTTACTAGGCAAGCTGGAGGTTCCTGAAGCTTGAAAGCCACTCAATTCCAAAAGCATGACACACCTCCCACAGCAGAAGTATCCTGGAGACCACACTGTGGGAACAGCTTACAGGTTTCCTGGTCAATTTAGCCATGGCTGTCTTTTGAAACAAAGTCTTATTATATAACCCAGGCTGGACTCAAACTCTTAGATCCTCCAGCCTCCGCCTCCTAACTCTCTGGGCACCAACAAGCCTACTCATAGGGGTTTTTTTTCAACCTTTTGAGACAAAGTTTCATTACATAGCTCTCCACAGGCCTTGAATTTACCATCCACCTACCTCAATCCCCCATAAACTAGGATTACAGAGGTACACCATCATACCCAGCTCATAGGTATTTTCTTAAGAGTACCAAACAAATCCCAAGGTCAAGGAAACCAGGCAACACTTACCTCATTGACTATGTAGTCCAACAACTCAAAAATTGCCATGGGAGGTCTGCTGTCCATTCCATATGCTACAGATTTTACCGTAAGGAAAAAGAAAACATCTCAGAAATGGACAAGAGGTTACTTGTATATGAAGCAAGAAGTCGGGCATGAACACCAGGGTCCAAAACAACTACAAGGCTGAACAGAGTGGTCCAACAAAGTCAGCTGGCCAGAGTACAAGTCTGCTCTGCTACATTCTAGGTTTGCTATGTGGGGCAAATCAGGTAACCACTGACATAATTCTAAGTTCTGTAAGGCAGAGAAACAGATGATAAATTATATCTGCCCATATAAGAGGAGAAGAAATGAGATAACTAAATAAGTGAAGGACTTAGGTGGTGAGTTTGTTTGGTTTAGTGATGCAGGGGAATCCAATCCAGAGCCACATGCATGCTATGCTTACACTCTGCTTCTGAGCTATTCCCCAGCCCCAGAACTTAGTTTCAGTTCTCCCTGAACAAGGGTTTCTTCCTTTCATATCCTAGAGTTAAAGGCCAGCCCCTCCAGTGAGCCCCCCCACCAGCCAGCACTAGCCCCATCTTCTCCCTTCATACGCACTCGCGTGTAGACCTCATCAAGGGAAAGAGCAGGTCTCCTCCCCCCAGCCAGGTGGGAACTTCCCAGGAGGAACTCTTTAAGATGATGGCTGGGTAAGAATATTCCCCGAGAAACAGTTACTTCACAGTATTTACATTCAGGAGAGTCAGGTAGTGCTGTACGGTGCGTATCATCTTGGCAGTCAGACGTGGCCACTTATAAGCATGTGGCCTTGGCAAGCTAAGTGCTCTGTGCCACAGTTTCCTCAGCTCCAAAGTGAAGCTGTTAATAGTGCTCACAAGTGAATTACTATTAAATTTAAAATGCTAGAAGCTCATGAAGACAGAAAGGAGATTAGTACTTGCCAGGGGATGGGTTTGGAAGAAACTGGGAGTGATTGTTAATGGGAACAGGGTTCTTTTGGGGTGATGAAAATGTTCTGGAATGAGACAGTGGTGATGACTGCACAACACAGAGAAATAAACCACAAACCACTTAAAATTTGAATTTTATGTAAATTTTATCTTAATAAAAAAATACATCTACCCCCAAAATACCATGATTAAAAAATAAACTAATTTATATGAAGTGCTAATCACAGTACCTATGAATAGTGGGAAGTTGTTAGTAATGATAGGAACTGGGGACCCGGACTGCTTCCCTGGAGCCCCAGCCTGGTATCCGGAGACAGACTGTGTTGGTGGAATGTACAGAGGGTCACCCCCCCGCCCAGAAACCCTGACAATAAGGGGCCCACAAGCCACTCACAGCTAAGGGGCCTCCCAGGGGTCCTTGGCCTAGGTGGTGTCTCAGCCGCATCTCCCTCCACCTGGCATCCAAACATCAGCTCCAGCTCCTTGGCATCCGGAGGAGGGATGGGATACCTCCCCACTGCCATCTCCACCAGAGAGAGCCCCATGCTCCAGATATCCGATTGCACAGAGTAGTGAGTCCCCTGGAGTCTTTCTGGCTGTAGGAGAGACAGAGACACAGTCATGATCCCTGAGCTCACCAGGACTTTGGGTCCATTCACGTTTTGTCTTCTGCCCCTTCCTCTGGACAACTTACATCCTGTTTCAAAAGCTCACTAACCTCCTGAATCTATCCTCCACATGCTTCCAAATACCATGTTTACTAAATCCTAGCTGGCTCTGTGGCTTGCTCCTCCTCACTGTCTTATCTCCCCTATAACATACCCAGAACAGACAGCATTCAAACACTTGTGCCCTGGCTACCATTTTAACCTGTCCCTATCCCAGAATGAGAGGCTCATCTTGTCACCTGAGTGAAATATGAATTGTAAACATGGGTCATGAATGAGGGGTAAGAAGAACAAAGGATCTGGGATCGGGGGACCTGGAGAACAAGTCCCAACTCTGAGACTAATAAAGCTAAGGAATCCTGAGCCTCAGTTTCCTCATTTCTAACTAGGGCTGCTGCTGCTAGTGACAACGGTATTAAGGACATAACAAATACCTACTCTATTTACTAGTGTTACTACAGAGGTCAAGTCAAATGAAAACTTGTTAGATATTACAAAATGCTACATAAAGATGAGTTGATACTGGTGGGAAAAGTAACAGGAAACAAGCATCTACAAAGAAATGCTTACAAAAGCATTATTCCTACTGAGCATTATTTCAAGAGGAACATCTATTTCAAGAACCACCCCCCAAAAAAAATCTTTACTCTGAACAGAGTACATTTATTTAGACATCAAGTTAAGTTCTCCCATAGCATTTTTCACGGACTGACTGTGAACTCTTTTGTAACTGACCATATAACTACAAAAACCCTATCATTACACCCTGAATCAACAGGTCCCAGGGCCTGCTAATTGATCTTGATCTTGAGATTGGCAACTGAGTGGCTCAGGGTGCCAGTTGCTCAGTTACTAGCCATCTATGGAAGAGCCAAGGAGGGGATGACAAACAGAGCAGAAGAAGGCTCCCCTGTGGGACACTGTAGTGAAGGACATTGGCAGAAACCCCCACAGGAGGACACAGGGGCAGCTGGCTTCCAATCCTGGCTCAGCTGGTCAGTTAGCGTCTATGGACCTAGCTTCTCTTGCCTCGCCTCTAAAATAGGCACAAGTGCAGCTACCCAGTGTGTCATGTCTGTGGATATGACAGTGTTCTGATGTATGAAGCACTCTGGGCCATTCACCATCAGGCCTGCACCTCCTTCCTGTTCCTCTGTGAAGACCATTGCTCACTCTGACCCCCTCTGTATACCCCACTGCAGCACTCACTCCCCACATGCACACTCCCACCTCTCCCAGTCAGGGTCAGCACCGTGCTTTCTGCGACCACTTGCCAAGCATTCCCTCAACACCTACCACAAGCCAAACCCCAGGGAAAGGCACTCCTTCAGCCTTGGTTCTGCCCCCAAACAGCTCGCTGTATGGGGAGAGGAAAAAACCTCCAATGATGCTGTGGTGGTGGGCATGGGGACAGGCACACAAGCACTCTGGTGGCAGTTGAGCCAGCAGAGTCAGAGCAGGCGGGAAGACCCCCCCAAGATGGGGTGCTGTCTGAGCTCAAGCAGAGATTGCAGCCAGGGAAGCAGATGTACTGTGGTAAGAGACAGGGGTGGCTGTCTGGGAGACACCATGAGGATGGAGAAGAGAAGATAAACAATTCCACACAGACTTGGGAGCACCAGTGGGTGTACAAAGACAGGGAGAAGGGGCCAGAAGTTAAAGACTGATTTCTGCCTTGGGAAACCATGATGCTATTCTATTTACTGCTGATAGAATAGGAGACGATGGGCCAGTTTGGGGTAGGGTCACACTGGGTTTGAGGGTCTGAAGACAATCAGGTAAAGAGGGCAGACAGAACTCAGATCTCTTCAGAATGCAAGCCAAAGCCAGGCACAGGCACAGGTGACTCACACATGTAATCCTAGCTACTTGGGAAGCTGAGATCGGGAGGATTACGGTTCAATGCCAGCCTGGGCAAATAGTTCTCAAGACTCCACCTCCAAAACAACCAGACCAAAATGGGCTGGTTTGCAAAGCATCTGCTTTGCAAACAGGAAGCCCTGAGTTAGGAAGGAAAGAAGGAAGGAGGGAGAGAGGGAAGCTCTGGCACTGGGCTGCTGCAGTCTCTTCTACCGAGTTAGTGTCCTAGTTATACACTAAGGTCTATTGGAGGCCAAGGCCATCTGCCCATCAATCAACTTTTTGGGTGTCTCATCCCTCATTTCCTGTCCCCCACTCATCACCCAGCCCAAGACTTTTACTCCACAGGGAAGGCAACCACTTAGCTCCTGTCTCTGACCTGCCAAGAAACAGGAAGAATGGAGGAGGAATGTTCATACCGACATGTAGGATCTTGTTCCCACGAAGGAGTTGGCCATGGAGTCGATGAGCTGCCCACTGACCCCAAAGTCACAGAGCTTGATCTCCCCACGGGAGTTGACTAGGATGTTAGAAGGCTTGACATCTGCAGGAAAAAGAACACCAAAAATGAGGGAATTGACTCAGGTAGGTTGGGGAGGGGAAAAGAGTCAGCACTCCACAGACCAGCCCCAACTGTGAGTCCCAGGCCACTCCTACTCCCCCATCAGAGACTGCAAACACTGGCCAAGGCCATTTATTCCCTCTTGTCCAGGGTTTGAGGAAAAACTGTCAGGGGATACAATGATCAGCTGCTAGAGAAGCAGGACAGAAAGCCAGTACATTTCAACTCTGAGGATGCAGACTTGGCCAGACAATCCACCAGGAATCAGTTATCCTGAATAGTTCAGATTTCCAAGCCTGAGCCAGGCCAGTGGCTCACCTGTAATCCTAACTACTTGGAAGGCTGAGATTGGGAGGATCACGGTTGGAGGCCAGTCTAGGAAAACAGTTTTCGAGACCCCATCTCCAAAATAACCAGAGCAATATGAACGGGAGATGTGGCCCAAGTGGTAAAGAGCCTGCCTTGAGTTCAAACCCCAGTCCCACCAAAAAAAAAAAAGATTTCAAGTATGTTGCTTCAACCACCGCTAACGGGCAAGGGGCAGTATCTACGGCTAGCATATCAGGGCAGGGAAAAAGCTGAAGACACAGATCGAAAACTGAAAGGGGATGGGTAGAGGTGGGGAGCTGACCCATGGTTCTCTTTCACTGACGCCTCATGCTCAACACCAACACAACCACGTCTACCATTAGTCAACGAATCCCTCAATGCCCAGGGCTTGAAGCTGCTCTGGGGGTCAAGTAGTGCCCAAACACCAAGCCCAGTCCCTTTCCCTACACTCACATGATCACCAACCCCCAGCTGGCTCTGTCACCATACTAAGCCACTGGCCCTTTGTTTGCAGAAAGAGGTAAACTTCCACACATCTCTTCTCTACCATGTCCTGAATACACGGCTGCCCTGCAAGGTGGACAAACCTAGTGGGAAAGCCCTGGATCAAGGCTTTGTGAGCAGATGTCAGCAAAGAGACTCACTCAAAGGCAGGCTAAATTCTACACCACCACAGGGAATCTCTGCTGAGGTAATAAGGACACTGTACAGAGCATCTGGAAAATTTGGAAAAAGACAAAATCCACCCATAATTCCAACCTACCAACTTTTCACCAATACAGTTTCACAGAATGCATTTATTTATTCTAAAACAGATTGTATTTAACTATTTTTGTAATACCCCAGTAAGCCTCAGCCCTGCACCACCTCAGCTAGCCCCACCATTATTCTCCAGCCTCTCCACTCTTCCCCCTCCCCAGGGCAGGGCCACTACCTTAGCCTCACTATACTAAGCTCTGAGCCACAAACCTTTGTTGAATGGATGGATCTAAACCCGCCACATACACACATGCTAGCGTGTACACAGGTGCAGCTATGTTGTGATCTCTCCAAGACCAGACCTCCTTATGTCTCCCACATGCAATGTGACCCTGTCCATACCCGCAGACCTTCCGAGAACAGACATCAGAAGACCTAGGGGCATCTGGTTCCTCTCCCTTATGATGGACACCAAAGATCTAAGGCCCCAAGGGTCCAGCGACTTGTTCAAGGTCACAGAGCAAAAACTGAGTAGCACTGAAGCAGACCCAGACCCACTGCCTCACTCCTCATGGTTGTTCATCTCATGGTCACTGAGCAGGGACAAACGGACCAAGTCCTCACTAGCAGGAAACTCTCATTTCAGTGGGAGGAGACAGCATAAGTAAATGAAAGAGCAAGAATGTGACGTCAAGCAATCTTATTTGCACAGGAGAATGAAACAAAGCCAGATGAGGGCACTGTGTGAGGGGTGCTCCTGAGGCAGGTAAAGAGGGTAGACCTCTGAGACGGCAATCAAGCAATGATCTGGACAGACAGGGCACAAATCATGTGGCCTCCTGGCAAACGACAGGAGATAAGCTCCAGGCTGAGGGCAGCTGAGGAGCATATCCAGCAGCTGCTTGTGAGAGGCCCTTGTCCTTACCCACAGTGTCCCTGTCACAGCACAGACCCCCTGGAGGTCACATGGTCAGGATATGGATAATAGGGCCAAGAGGGAAGAGCTAAGCCTGGGATGGACCTGCTGGGGCTTTCCAGGGACAGCACACCGGAGACCTTCTAAGGGGAGGCCTTCCTCTTGCACCCCCCACCAATTGCTACAGCCTTTTGTCTCAGTGCTGGGCCATACCGCTCACCCTTCCAGATGCTCTGCTCCCCATGGCCTGCTTTTAGAGCAACACAGGAGCACTGACTAAAGAGATAGGACACCTGTGTGCAAGTCTTTGCCTGCCACCTGCTCTACATGCAGCCTGGACCAAGTCACTTAGCCTCTCTGGGCTATGACATGCCCACAGGATGCAGACCAGGATTGAACTAAAGGAGTACAGCATACACTCAGCACATTTTGCTGAAGGAATGAATACAAGGAACAAGGGTTCCTCCTGGCATGGTGATGTACCCTTGTAATCCCAGCTTCTCAGAAGGTAGAGAGCACAAGAATCAGGGTTTGAGACCAACTGGGCAAAAAAAAAGTGAGCAAGACCATATCTCAACAAATAACAGGAAGTGTAAACAGGAAGATCTCAGTCCAGGCTGGCCCAGGCATAAATTCAAGACCCTATCTGAAAAATAACTAAAGCAAAAGGGGCTGGAGGCATGGCTCAAGGCCTAGAGCACCTGCCAGGCAAGCAGAAGGCCCTGTGTTCAAACCCCAGTGCTACAAAAAATAAAAAATAAAATAAATTATAAAAAAAAGAACAAGGGTTCTCTAGGTTGCCCCCTGAGGTGAGCAGGTCTGAGACGGTGGCCCCTCCCTAGCCAGCTCTCCTCCAGAAGAGCCTGGATGCTCTTCTGTAAGCTGCAGCTGCTACTTGCCCTGGCTATGCTGCCTCCAGCACAGCGATCTGATTGCTGCTCACATGGCAAGCAAGCCTCCTCGTTCAGACTTATATAACACTGCTCTCCTCCATGGTACCAGCTGCACCTTCCCCCCACCTGCCAGGGAGCAACCATGCCTGGGAGGCTGCACAGATCTGTGGGGTTGGAGAGGAAAGGACACCCCAAGGGGCCACACAGATCCTGCACACAGTCCTCCCAGTGACTAAGATGGCCTGCCTGACAAGAAGCCGTGGCCACATTAACTCACTAACCCTGAGTGTGTGTGTGTGGGGGGGGGGTGCTCCTAGAGCCTGCAGCCAGACATGCTGTCCATCCCATTCCCACCCTCAAGAAACCCCAGTCAGATAGGACTCTTCTCTGGAAGCAGAAAAGAAACACAAGATATCAGACAAGACCTCAGTTCATTCTCCATCTGTACCTTGCACTAGTTTCCCAGAGTAGCCAGTCCCTTCTCACACTGTTTCTGTCCCCATTATCTTCACTCTCTACCCAGTCTGCATGGCAAACAGAACTCCTCTAGCAAGATAGTCCCTGCATACAGACTGCTATAGCTCTCTTCTACCTCAAAGCACCATCCAAGTTCCTTTTCCTGGCTTTCCAAACCCTACAACTTCATCCCAAGGCTTCTCCACATCCACCTCCTCCCAGTTCAGGCTAGCCTGTCTTACCACCCTTGAGCAAGTCTCGCCTCCTTACCTTCTCTTGTGCTACTCCCTGCATCTGAAAGATCCTCCTTCCCACCTGCCTCTCACCTCCACTTCTAGTACCTAGTTCCTTTGAGCCCCCTTCCCAGTGTGGGAAGGCTGGAAGGCTGCACAGATCTGTGGGGTCCTGGAGTCCAAGGACATTTATCTAGACTTCCCCCCACATGGTCCTTCAAAGGTATTTCAAATGACAGGCCCTGTCCATCTTTACATCCTGAGGGCTCCCCCATCTCAAGTTCTCTCTCTGATCCTTTAAGATCTACTGGTGATGCTGGGGTAGCCCCAGCGGCGAGTAGGCTAGGCTGCATTCTGGAGGAGGCATATGGCCTCCACTGGGTGTCTAGGCTGACAATCCTCCCTAGGAAGCACACGAGGTGCCAAGATGTGATGCCTGGATGGCCAGTTCTTTGTGGCAATAGGTAATCCCTCCCTCCTTCCTTAAAAGAGAACAAAGAGTGGAGCTGGGGGTGGCAGTCAGTGGTAGAGTCCTGGTTTGAATTCCCAGACCAAAAAGAAAAGAAGGAACAAAAACAAACCACAAGGAAGGTTTATGAAAAACTAAATGTGAGAAAGTATTTTCTTCTCTGATATTTTCTGCCTCAGAAATAACCACTGTTCAAAGCCTCCTAAATTCTTCCAAGAGCACATATTTTGAAGTTAACTTCTGTACATTTTCTACCCCCTCTAAAAAGGGGTTTGGATAAAGTAATTCAGAGTCAACTGTTTATTCTATAGGCACTTAAATAGAGTCCCTGTCCCTGTCCTCAAGGCTGTCACTACCAGGAGAGATGGAATTCAACAAATAACAAGAACACATGCACACGGATGTGATCATGAGAGCACAGAGAATCATGTGTCAATTCTCCCCAGCAGCTGGGACCATGCTGATGGCAGCAGGCCAAGGCCAGCAGGCAATAAACCAAGGCACACAACAGCTTTCCAGGGATCCTCCCCATGTCTGAGGACCTGCATTTTGTTTGGTTAGGTAAGAAAAAGAAGCTACATCCAGCCAGGTGTAATGGTACACACCTGTAATCCCAACACTAAGGAGGCTAGGCAAAGAATCCAGAGTTTGAGGCCAGGCTGGGTTACACAGTGAATTTAAAGCTAGCCAGGGCTACATAGTGACTCTGAGGCCAGCCTGGGCTACATAGTGGCCCCAAGGCCAGTCTGTGTTACATAGTGAGTCTGAGGCCAGTCTAGGTTGCATAGCAAGACTCTGTCTCAAAAAACAAAAAGTAGAAGAAGGAAGAAAAAGAAGCTGCACCCTCTAAGACAGGATGGAAAAAAGTAGGCAAGGAGGAAGAAAAGGGCAGAAGACAGGTGTGACAGTGGGGAACTCAGGAGAACCAGAGAAGAGAAGGTAGAAGGAAGGAGCAAAGGCCCCCAAAGAAGCCAGTGGAGTGGCAC